CCGCAGCACCAGCTCGAGCACCGAGAAAGGATGCTGGATTCAGGATACGGTTTCAAGAGCCGGCTGTATCGACAGCTCCAAAGTAGTCCCGAGCCGTTTGGGGGATCCTTTTGCCCGTGCTCCTGGCAGCTCCTTCTGCCATCTTCTGCCAGCCATTGTCTACTCATTTTACCACTTGATTGTGTTTGCACAACATTTCGGAAAGCGTCGCGGCATCGGCATCGGCATCGACATTGGCATTTTGCGCTGCAACCCGCCAACAAACCCAAAATAAAACAAAATGCCAAGCCGTGAAAATTTGAAATGCAAAGGCGTTCTTTGGAGCAAACATTTAACGGCGTCTGCTTGACATAAGAAGCGTTATAAAACTGGATTTAAGATAATGTAAACATAATAAAAATTGTTATTTGAAAATATTTGTAGTTTCTATAGGTATAAAATAAGAATTATTACAGAGATGCATTTTTTAATAACATTTTATCAATATATTTTTAAGTTTTCAAACTTATATTTTAAATCTTTAAATTATAATAGTATATTAATTTATATAATTGAGAATTATTAATTAACTTAATTTTATATCAATTCCACTTAAACCATTTTTTGTGTAAAACCACGGTTGTTGTTTTTGTTTTGGTTTTTGATGATCTTATTTCAAAACTTCTTCAGCATAATGGTGTTTTAACTTTGCCAATTGTTTATTTAATTATAAAAATAAATTGTTAACCTTTTTAGGTTTGGATTTGAATAATATTTTGACAAGCACTGTCAGCCGCATCCAGAAACGTACATAAATACCGAAGCATGTGGTGTCTGGCGAAAAATGAACACAAGTTCAATCAAAGCTTTTGCTTTGCCAGTAAATCAAATAAAGAAAAATGCACATAAGAACAAAGTTAGCAACAAGAGCAGCAAAACACAGCAGACCAGAAACTCTTTATGAACTGCTTGGCCTGGAGTCGAATCAAAATAGAACCAAGAAAAATACTTGCCGACACCCGAGAGTTGTTTGCGAGCTGAATGCCATTCAGAAAATCAGAATAAAAGCAACAGCCAGAATATCCTTTATTTTAAATTCGCATTGATCAATGTATAAGCAATTCTGAATTAACCCAAATTGCAGGCTTGCCCTAGGTGTTGCCTTTATTAAGGGGTACTTTTCACAGAAATTTATTTCGTATAATTGCTTGGCCAACAATCCTTTGGGATCAAGAACAGCAATTGGATCCTCATCCTTTGTTGTGTCAAGTAATCATTGATACGCATTTTCAAGTAAATATAAAATATACGAAATTTTCTGTGAGCTTTTCTCTTGCTGCTGATGATAAACTACGAGCAAAGTCAAGAGTTTTAATTAAATTTGCATACAAAATTTCTGCAGCAGTCGCATCAAAAGTTATGGCAACTGCACGGCTCCAGTTGTTTAAATTAAATCAGAATGCACTGCCATTTGGCCAGCTTAACTGTCCAGGTGCGACAGACGGGCGGAAGGATCGCTCATATGACGGCCATAAAAGGCAACGGCTCAGAACATTGCGTATACGCAGCGTGCCGTGCGCCCTATTTAAACTGTTTTTAATGACGGCGCAGGTCGTTGAGAAGTGAGTCACTGACTGAGTAAATAAGCAACCGACAATCAAACAGAGCACGATCCAGACATACAAGTATAGTGCATATATCCTCCGCGGGTGGCGAAAAGGTTTGTCCTTTCAATTTCCAGCCTCGTCGGAGCTTTATTTTTTAATGGCTTCTGCTAGTGCCTTGGTTAAGCATCCATTGAGTCATTGTATCTACCTTGTAATATGAAAATCGCTTTGGCAAAACTTCTTGATTGTTGCATGCACTTGATGCCCTTTCCGTTTTCGAGTATTTATTCTTGTGCAAAACACTTTGTAGATTAAATAAAACAAATGGAAAGATGTATAATAATATTTTATTACAATACATTTTACATTCGTAGCCACTTTTGAAATAAGTTAAAGTTTCATACTTTCATAAAAACAATACCGAGCGACCGTTTTTTTTTTACAAAAATAAATCTCTTATTTTTAAAACTTAAAATAAAACACTTCCCATACTTAGCTTAAATATTATTAATTTAGCATTCGCTTTGTTTTCATCTAATCACAACGTGTTTTTTATAAAATATTTTGTTGGAGAAAATATAGAGAGAAGGATTTTTAGACGATCATGGCATCTGGGGCATTTATTTAATTATTAATTATAAGCTTTAATTTTTAATTAGGTGGTAACTACAAGACAGGATTACTGATATTTTATGCATATAACTTTTGCATTGTGAGATAATTGGTTTTTAAAATGTTCTAATAAATTGCTGCTTATGTTGCAAGACATAGCACAATAAAAGGTATCTTTGTTATGTAAATAAATTAAGTTCTTAATATTGCTTCACCTTGAGTCAAAGGCAAGTGAAATATGCACTGACAGTTTACGCTCACTTGATTGACGAGGGTATGCAAAATCCTTTTGTTGGCTTAAGTTTCTCCGTCTGCCATTTCTCCTTTTGTTTTGTGATGCCAATAAAACATGCATTTCACTTTCAGCTCAACCGTTGGCAAACAATGACAGAAGGTGGTACCCTGAGAAAGGGGAGACGTATCACAAAAACATCCTTCCCATCGCAACGCGAGGATCCTTTGTGCAGTGTGCACTCAATTATTTGGTCGTTACTTGTTTCTTATTACCTTTTGCCTACCGACACTACGAAACATAATAACTGCTGCACGGAGAATTGAGAGGAGAAGGCTTTGTTTGTCCGGCAATACAATTGAGTTGCGGAATGCTGGAAATAAATGCGAATTTAATATGCAAAGGAATCGAATGGAACCAGGTCCAAGATTGCTCAAAGGATATCAGTTGAAGATTACTCGGCAAGCGATTGGACTGAACCATAAATAAAACGATTATGAATGAGGTAAGAAGTTATAGGCGAACAAATTCTTCCAAATAAAATTATCTAAATTGGAATAAAATTCTTTTCGATTTATGACCAATTTGCTGTATAATAATTTGTCTTGAAAACGAATATATTGGCACATAGATTTTAGTACACGTCAATCTCACCTTTAAACTTGAATTTTGTAAATTTGCTTTGCCCTGATGTACAAATTCAATACAATTTTCTCATTTCCGTGATAACCTTAAGGAAGCTGGTAAGCTGATAAATAGAATTTAAATTAAAATTTTGTTCGTCCTTTGGAGCTTTTTGAGAACTTGAGACACTTCTTACAATATACAATTTCAATTTAAGAACATGTTTTCTAGATTTATATGCTTTTAAAATCATTAGATGGAGTCTATTTATTTTATTAAATCAAATTAAAAAAACTTTTATTTATCATTTATTTTGAAAAAAAGGCAAACCTTAAATTGATATTGATATCGAATCGTTAACGAGTCAGTTGGAACTCGGCTCCACTCTTTGGTGCTCCACATCAATTTCAGCGTTTGGCTGCCCGCAAGCCACGTTATAATTTTGGTATGAATTTTCAACAAGAAGAAATTCTAATACAAAAAACAGACCAAACAACATTAAATTAATTGCAAATAAAGATTTTTCTTGAATTTAGACACACATTTTAGTTCACCATGAAGGCGAATATGCGGACCAAAAGGTATTAAACGCAGTTTTAAACAAGAGAGAACGCTATAGTCGAGTGCCTCGACTATTAGATACCCGTTACTCAGCTAAACAACTTAATATAAATATGCCTTCTTGTATGTTTTTCGCCGCTCGAATTAGCACCTTGGCCAGCGGTTCCAAAGTCATCCGTTAGATGGCGCTACGGGCCATGAAAGGCGGAAATGTAGGCGCTAGCCAGGCTTAAACGTTTAATGGGGTTTTGGGCGTTAGAGTGGGCGTGGCAAACTTTTATTAGGCCAATCGATAGGTATTGACGAAACAAATACATATCAATTAAAATTTTCATAATAGCGTCTATACTGTGGCCACAGCTTGCGGCTTGTGGGCGTCAGAGGGGGCGTGGCACCATTTTGAAACAAACTTGCGCTGCGTAGGAACTCCTAAAATCTACATGCTTTTATAGTTTCCGAGATCTCAGCGTTCATACGGACAGACAGACAGACAGACGGACAGACAGACGGACAGACGGACATGGCTAGATCGACTCGGCTAGTGATCCTGAACAAGAATATATATACTTTATAGGGTCGGAAACGCTTCCTTCTAGCTGTTACATACTTTTGCACGAATACAATATACCCTTTTACTCTATGAGTAACGGGTATAAGAAGTTGTTATAAAGATTTTCGCCAAGGAAAACATAACATTCTTTTGATGAAAAAACTCAACTACAAAACCATATATAGTTTCCTACTGTTTGTTGTTGTTCAATGATCAAAAAGAACAATGCCATCATTGTGTTAGTTATCAATAAACTTTCTACTATTATTTGTTTGAGGTTTGCAGATATCATGTCTTTAGTGTTATATTGCTTAAATAAAATAAGTCCTTCGAATTACGTAAGTAGATATTTATGTCTTGTGAAGCCTTAAAAATCATAGCTTCTAAGTGTGAAATTAGCAAATACTGGTTTTAACTGCCTGTTGATTTCAAACGGTTAACAGAGGTCCTTTACAGAAAGCTGAGAACAGCCATCCGACATCCCTGTTCCAATTTCACATTATGCTTCGTGTCCTTCCCCTATTGAAAATGGGGAAACGGAACAAAATGAATAAATCTGGCACTCGAAGGGGATGTTTTGGCGAACTGAAACGAAGCAGATGTAAAACTACATGAGACGATTTGGAATGGATTCGTTGGGGAAGGCTGGAGTTCAGGAATTCGGAATTCGTAGGGATGAAACGGACAAAACGCGAAGGACGAAACATCGTGAAACAGAAGGGGTGGAACCATCTGAATTAAAATGGTCCATTTGGCATAGGCACACTGCGAATCGCGAAATGCTCCGGTTTCAGTTTGAAATTTGCATGGCACAGCGGCGGTCATCGAGCGGGAAAAGAAGCGGGCGAATTCGAAATCCTTAAATACATTTTTGTCATTTCGCGGGCGGGTGTTTGAATGCACTCCAGTGAATCTCCAGACTCAGTTTATGATTCTGAATCTGATTCATCGACGGCAGCCGGTCTTTATTTGCGCGAATGTGTGCCAAGCGGGATGTGGGCGTGACCGCCCCCATCGATAAAGTGAAGTGTTGCGGAGTGGAGTGCAAGTATGGCTCCCATTTGTGAAATCCTGTGAGCTACGACTGTGAGTGCAATGTGTCTTTTATAAATCAAGGAAAATCACATTTTAAATTGCTGCGCATTAGAACGGATACAGATACAAAGGCAGGGCCACAAGGAGGCAGCCAGGCAAGATCGAAAGTCAAACGGCGTCAAACGCTGATTGCGTCGTCCTCTATCCACGAAACGTGAAAAATGAAAAAAGAACGAAGGGGAACGTGAAGGATTTGACTGATGTGAATGGAGTGAAAGATGTGACCTGGCCCAAACCTCCTCAATCCCCACTCCCCCTGCCCTATCCACCCCTAGAAGGTGGCACGTGCTATTGTTTGGCCCCCATCTATTTCAATTTGATTATATTGATGAGCATATGATGTAATATATGGAAACGTAATCTGATTAGAGGCAGACTTAGACGCACACCTTCGTTCGGCTCAGAAATCGTGCTATCCCGTAGACTTTAAAACTCATTAATGTGCAAAGACGCCAATCCACCAGGACTTTGGTATCATTAGAATGGCATAAGGCGAAATACAGAGCAGTGGGAAGCAGAGCCTAGCATTAATGCCTTTAAATCAATAAGATGTTGAGACAGGTGACAGACTTGGGCAAGATATTGGATAGCTGTTCTAAAAAAAACTCAAGAATCAACGAAAAACGAAAAAGGATTTTACGCTTGGCAACGCAAAACAATTCAACAAAAATATCACATATCTCGACAGTAGAATAACGTTTATTAATTGAGGGGAGCAAAGCTGAGATATCATCAACTGTATTTCTCCAGGATTTATGATAGAAGATAAAAACAGATTTAGTTCAGATTAAATGACAGCGAACCATTTTGTTTATAAGTGGATTATAATTTAAGAATTTAAGAAGGGCAAACAATGTTTAAATACAAAAAAAAAATCTTTATTATAACTAGAACAATGCAAACAATGTTTAATTACAATGTATGTCCGTCATTCTGTTTGAAAATCGATATTATAACAATAACTATAACTAAAACTAGAACTAGAACTAGAACTAGAACCATAAATATTGTAAATATAACTATACCTATGGGATGGCCATAAAAAACATGTATACTTCATTTTTGGCCACTTCATCTTCGGCTCCAAAGCTTGTTATACAAAATGTTGTGGGTAGGAATAAGATGAAGATAACAGATCTATTCAAAAATAAAGTCCCTATGGATTTTTTCTGATAAAGCCTCCCAAAAGACTTTATACTTTTAAGTAAATAACAGATATGCACTCTTTCAGTTATAATAACAGCTGTATAAATCATATCAATCTGGACACATTTTTGAAATAGGTTTACAATGATTAAGGTGGCATTCATCTTATATAAACCGAAAATACACTTGGGCATCCCAAGCACAAAAATAAGTTCAAGAGGAGAAAATAATCTGTGTTTTGGTACTCTTAGTAGAAGAGTAATCTTTCACAGTAAACTCCTACTGTCCATGAGTGAATTAGGAAAATCTCGGCAGCTAATGGACCGTATTTCACGCTCGAAAAATAAATATCAATTTGTTGCTTAGCGCCCCTAATTACACTTTTGTCCACATCGGTAGACATCCTTCTAATCGCCCCATATTATGAAGTGCAGTAATGCATTAGGATATCCCATTTTTTTTGCTATTGGGGCTCTTCGATTTGCCAGCTCCGAGCCGAATAAATGGGGATCTGGCATTCGTTTGGAGGAGTCGACACAGTTTTGTGGGCAAAACGACTTTTTGGCCAACAAAAAATAACGAACAAGCCATTAAAAATTTGCCAAACTCAGCAGAAGTGGAGGAAGCAGAACTAATGGAGAGTGGAATGGAAAAAGGAGGAGCAACGGGACCATGCAATTCATTAATTTATTGACTTATAATCAAGCCAGCCCAAAACTTATGCCCAGAGGCAGAGTCGGATAAATATCCATTTATCACATAAATAGAACGCTAACAGCAGTGAATCCTTGGTGTTTTCTGCATTTCCTCTGGCCGAGCTTATATTTTTGCCTTTCTAGTCTGGCTGCTGCGGTTGGCTTTGCCAAATAAAGCAAGAAACAAGTTAAAACATACGTTCTCTGCGGTCTGACTCTGTGAAATAAAAACAAAAAAGAAAGACAGTCACGTCCGTACCACTACAACCCCTTCCCCTGGAGGAAATGCGGTATGCAAATTCAACCGAGAAGACTTCATAAAAGCAATGCAAATAATTAAATAACAGAGCCAGAGCAAACAGTACGAAGCAGGAGCAGAATGACATGCTACTTGAGCTGGCGAAACTTGGATTAACTAGCTGCGAGAGAAATAAATACGAAATCCGAAAGCAAATCCCCAACCAATCCAAGTTCCAGCCCAGGTGCGACAACGACTGATGCCCTCGCCCAACAAAATGTCCTGGCGGGAAAAGGAGCGCTGCGCAGGAGCCGAAGGAGGTGGACGCGGGGCAGGCATCCTGGCCGGGAGAAGTCCGGGAACTGCCAGCATACTGTTGGCATTTCTGGCAGCTGTCAGCTTTCGTGGCATGCGAGCGCGTAAGTGTAAACTTCTTTTACTTAGGGTGATGCGAGAATCCGGCGTGCACTTCTGCACACCGATTCCACCGCAAATTCGCCAAGGTGATGGCAAAAAGCATTGTAACAGAATTAATAAATAATATATTTTATTCTAAGTAATGATTTTAGTTGAGTCAAGTATATATATGCTTTTTTATATATAACTTAATATTTTATGTGCCTTTATTAGAGTAAATGTCTCTAATATTTTATATTGTTAAAATATTTAAATATCATTTTAAAATTTCAAACACCTACTATTTTTTTCACATTTTTAAGGATGAGAAACAGACAGAAATTAATCGATCAAAATTTGGTTAAAATTTGTTTAGACATTATATGTTCATTATAGCCGAATTTGTTTGCACATAATCCATTCCTATCGAGTTTCAAACTAAAAGATTTCTGTTTCACCTCTCATGTTTGGATTGTCATTAGTGTCTTAGGATTTTTCGGTCATAAATTGCATTTGTTTTGCATATTATTTAAGATTACAAATATTTTTGCTGCATTAATTTCCTCGCATTTTTTCTGAAGTCTCAACTCCAAAAAAATTTAATTAAAATGTTAATTGTTTTAATATTGTGCTGGTTACAATTGAGCTACAATTGGCATCAAGGTATTATTATATATCTCAGGATACAGAGTATATTACCATATGACCGCATAAGATCTTAAATGATTTCGATTATAGCCTAGCTAAGTTTTTAAAGACAAGGACAACGTATTTAAGTGGAGTCCCAAATATTTTAAGAGATACAACTTTTTTTATACCCTTGCAGAGGGTATTATAATTTTGGTCAAAAGTGTGCAACGCAGTGAAGGAGACATCTCCGACCCTATAAAGTATATATATTCTTGATCAGGATCACCTCCTGAGTTGATATAGTCATGTCCGTCTGTCCGTCTGTCCGTCTGTCTGTTTCTACGCGAACTAGTCTCTCAGTTTTAAAGATATCGAATTCAAACTTTGCACACACCCTTCTTTCCTTTGCACGCAGTATATAAGTCGGAACGGCCGGGATCGGCCGACTATATACTATAGCTGCCATATAACTGATTAATCGGAAATGCCATAACTCTGCTGTTTGTTAAGTTAGGAAGTTGGGACTTTCTATGGGTTTTATATTTGGCCAATCAGTACGACGTACCAAATTTCATAAGGATCGGCCGACTATATCCTATAGCTGCTATATAACTGATTGATCGGAAATGCCATAACTTTGGTGTTTGTTAAGTTAGAAAGTTGGGATTTTCTATGGGTCTTATTTTTGGCCAATTAATCCGACCTACCAAATTTCATAAGGACTGGCCGACTATATCTTATAGCTGCCATATAACTGATTGATCGGGAATGCCATAACTTTGGTGTTTGTTAAGTTAGGAAGTTGGGACTTTATATGGGTTTTATTTTTGCCCAACCAAGCAGACATATCAAATTTCAAAGGGATCGGCCGACTATATTCTATAGCTGCCATATAACTGAACGATTGGAAATGCCATAACTTTGGTGTTTTTAAAGTTAGGAAGTTGGGATTTTTTATGAGTATTAAGAATGCATCATATGAATAATAACATAATGAATAATTTTGGAGAATATAATTTGCAGAATATTCTGCAAGGGTATTTCAACTTCGGCTCCGCCCGAAGTTAGCTTTCCTTTCTTGTTTAAATATGAATTTACCTTTTAGTATTCGATATAATACAAATTTTATTAATGCCAGATTTTACAGATGAGTTTTTGGTACTTATCTACCTAAATGTTGCGATAAAAAAATGGCTATAAGGGAAATCAGATTGTTCAAATTTTCGTATCAAACACAACTTCATAAGCCCCGTTTACACTGTAACATTTCCAATCCCACCTCCGTACCACCCACCGTAAGCCACCCAATCCCGTAACCAACTACCCAGCAATCTCTTGATCCCTTTGGCATACGAGTCCGCGGGAAAATCGCTTCCAGGAACGCCCCAGAGACCTTGTGTTTACCATGCGAGTCTGCCCCAGAACCCGAATCCCTGCGCCCTAACCAAGTTTTTGGCTACGTGCTCCGGTCTTTTCCGTACTGTTTTGTCCTGTTGAGTTGAGTTCCATGTTTCATGTGCCCTACTGTTCTGTTTGGCGCTAAGCTTTTGTTTTGCATGCATAGTTAATTCAATTTCGCACATTTTTGTGCAAGTGTCGAGTGAAGCGTTTGCCAAATTTAATTTACATGATGAGATTTGCTTGGCTGCATTGTCGTTGGCAACTCGTTGGCACGATTTTTATAAGCTTGTCGAGTTAATTTAATCGTGCAGTGCAAATTTTCATTTAGTCGAGCGCACACACGCGCTTCTATGATTGTCAGACACCTGTCACCCGAAAGGAAATCTCCCTTTTCGGTGCCAGAAACTCATTACGCATACGCAACGTGTGAAGATTTCGACTTTGCCCTGGCTTGATATTTGCTTTCGTTTTTCGAGTAGTTTATGAAAATGCCTGGCATATTTTCTAGCCCAGCCTAATTGGAGCGGGCCTGCTAACAGTCTCTGTTTCTGAATCTCGAGTTGATTAAATTCTGTGCGTGCGGAGGGTGTGTGAAAGTGGTTGGTGGGCGGGATGTCTGTTCAACAGGTCGGATGCGTGATGTGATTGTTCGCCCCTGCGAAATTAGAATCGGTTCGAGCTGCCCGTGCATATTGCCTTCATCAAATGGCCTAATTGATAGTTGGGTATAAGTACAGGTTTTCCCGTAATTTCAGAGCCATTTTCTCAGAGTAAGATTGAATAAATTATGTGATCTTTCCACTTCAACATGAGTGAACTTTTGGCTTAAATTGATTTCACTTCTCTGGTAAGCCTTTAATATTCAAGGCATACTTATTTATTTATGCACTGTTCTAGACATTAATTCGCCAAATATTTGCTGACAAAACTTTGTCTGGGGGGCTTTTTCAAGGCGCTTTAAGCTGTTGTGGCCGAATAATCGCCAAATAATATTTATCATCTTGTTTTTGTGCTTATCTCCCTGCTGCTGCTGCCAGATCTAATCAATCTCAGTGGAACCGCTGGCAGTGCCAAGGCAATATCATTAACAACACATGACCCCATCTCCATGTCCGCACCCATATGTGATGTAATTAAATTGGTCACCAGCAAAAACGCGCAGAGCCACAGACAAACTGGAAGTGGGCGAAATTTGGGGAAAAACAATGGGTCAAAGCGAGAACAGAAATAAGTAGACACTCAAATAACACTTAAGCCATCAATCAGCGCACTAGCCAAGGTCAAAGGCAGTGCCACGCCCAAGTCCAACTCTGTTAATTATGCCACGACCATGGACCGCATACAAAACAGCAGCGGGGCGAATTCAACTATGTTTTATATAAGAGATACAAGTATTTACCATAGAACGGCTCCCAAGACAAATGGCGGTCAAATGTCACGTTTAATTTATTTATGGCCAAAACACATAACCGGTGGAGGGGGTCAGGAGAAAAAATAGGAATCCCGGCGATGGGCGTGGCCGAAGGCACAAGGACCGAGCCTTAATTAAATAACTGCGCTAAGTGGAGCCAAAGAGTTGGCGTCGCTAATACAGCCATTAGCCGAATTCGTTGAGAGGTCATAAATTTCACGGTCCAACATAGGAATCACAAAATAATTCCCGAACTCTGTAGTCCCTTAAATAAATTCCAACTTACTCAATTTGGAGGCAAGACGATACTCCAGACTAATAAATAGCTTCTGGCGGTAATTAATTAACTCTGGATTGTCGCAATGGCCAAGTTCTATGTTTTCATATGCGAGCAATATGTTTTTCATAAAAGTTTCCTTTATTAACATTTATGGCTTGGGAATGGCTTTAAAATAATTAGAAGCATATGAATTATTGTCCCTCTTTATTTATTCTATTTCAAATCAGCAATTAGATTTTATCAAAAAAACATTTTATTAAAATTTTATAACACTTTGCTGATTTTCTTATTAAGACATTTGTATTTATTTGATGTAGGAATTTCATAAGAAATAATTAATAATTATTTCTAATTAATTTTGTTAATTAAAAGTTTCAATACAATTATAACATAAAACGCTGCTGTTGCCCATTTTGATAGTTATATAGCACCCACTTATTTCGTATATTTACTCGGAAAATAAATTGGGCTTTGGACAAGTGGTTTTACCAGCTACGATATATATTTGTCCTTAATGGACACACACGAGGATGTTTGGGCCACGTTTTCGCATGAAGTCCGTAATGAGCCCTCGACAGCAACATTAAGCCTAACATAACCGCCCCGCGGTGAACATTGTTATGTATTTGTTTATTCATGTGTGTAAATTATGAGCAATAACAACGGCAGTCACATCAATGCGAAAGACAACAATCGTCAATCAGGCGACACGAAAGCAAAAGGCTGTGAAAAACCAGGGGAGAGGAAACGCTTTAAAGCAATCGAAGGCAGTCGAGTGCTAAATGGGCGTGTCCTCCTGCCACGCCCACCGCCTATCAGCCACTCCCCCTCGCGCCTTCGCTTAAGCCGAGTAATTGCTGTGTGCGAGACCAGAATGCCTCAAAAAGTCGAACTCGACCCCCTGTCGTCAAAGTGAGCGATACGTCGCGTTGCCATTTGGCTTTAACAAAAAACAAGAAATAGGGCTTGGAGTGAACTAAACATATTGATTGGTATGCGACAATTAAATGCCCTGAAGAAGCACATTATTAGCCAAGTGTGTCATGTTAATGTATATAAAATATTTAAATTACCAGAAATTCAAATATTGTAGTACAAAATAAATAAATCAAATCTGAATTGGAATCATATTAAACATAAATAATTAAATAACCTAGGGCTATGATAACACTTAAAACGAAAACCAAATAATAATTTCACATGGAAAAGATTTAATTATTATCAAATTAATATTTTTATAAAAGGAAATTAGGGTGGTAAAAACAAATTTTACCCTCACCGTTTAATGTGCTAGATACAAAAATATTTTATTGTTTTGGCGCTCTGCAATGTTCTCCAAGTTTCCATAAAAATTGGTTATACGACACGCAATATCAGTTGGAATAAAGTATTTTATCATAGGAACCAGTTAGTATGAGTGGTGAGCTTTAAAGTCAAATCACGGTGCAAAAACGCATTTTGTGAGAGTGGCCCTCAAAGTCTTCTTACAAATGTGTTGAAATACCCAAGCAGCTCTTTCTTGCGTCCTCTGAAAATGTTTGTAGAGGATAAGTTTTAGAAGCGCAATGCAAGCATACAACTAAATATAATATCTTAAGGCCTACATTAAGGGGATAGGAAAATAAAACTTAAAGAATATCAAGAAATAAAGCAAACTTAACAAAAGTAATCAATAAGAAAAATCCTTTTAATAATTGACTTTTTCCAAAAATATCTACAATTAGATTTTTCTCTTTAATAAAATCTATTTAAATTCAAAGAATTTAACCACTAGGTTTTGCTGACTATTTAGTTAGGATAGTATGCCGTCATCAATCCATCACAGGACCAAACCCTCGTCAGACATCAGCTGTTATCGGGACACCTTGGGCCAAGCTCATGGCCGAGTCTATGGGACCTCTCGAAGTGAAAGGGTAACCACAACAAAACGTGCAACCATTGATAAAATGTGCGACGGCTGCTGATGTAGGTCGGATCCGTGCGAGGGGCTAGGAGATGGGTACGGGGAATGCAGGAGCAGGAATTTATGATTCCATTTTTACTTCTCTGCTCGTTCTTGCAAACTGCCTCCGGCCATGTGAAGAGTTTCTTTGGGGAATGCGGGCGGGGAAACCTGTGCGGGGCAATGCAAATGGTTGCGGCTTGTGAATTTCTCTCGCAACAATGAGAAATGCCTCAACACGGCCGGAACCCCTGGCCGGGCGTCATTGGCCTAAGCCCCCCGCTGCTCCACCACGCCACTGCCAACGCCCATGTTAACAGTCTATACACGGACGAAAATCAGATGGTCCACTTTGCAAATGCGAGTTTTAGTTTTCAACTAAATAAGACTGCGGAAGTCTATTTAATTCGTTAAATAAGAAAGTATAACAATAATAAGGTATTGAAAAGGTTCGTAATACTTCTTTGTAAAACAAATATTTTGTTTACAATATTCTGGCAAAGAATGGTTAGTAATGAATGTGATCTCGAGAGGTTTTTGTAAAATTGTCAGAACATGGTAATTATCTCAAGTTTACCTTATAAAATCCACTTAGTTAAACACAATTTCAAGTAATTTCAATAAATATTTCCTTTGTTTCTGGATGGATCTCGATGGTATTTTCTCGCTGTGTATCTTTTGAGTGTGTGTGACAACCATTTGATAAGTTCGATTATGAATGTTTTCAGCATGGAGCTACAAAGGCGGGGTAGTTGCTAATACTTGCTGAATGCTGCGAACCAATAAATGACAAGTTATGCCCTCTAATTAATGCGCTTCAACATGCGACAAGCGTGTGCGGCTTCTGGCCGAATGATTCTGGCCGGGTCTAATGAGCGTCTCTTCTGGGCCTTGACCAGCACGGCATTCGGCTTAATTTCGCACATAAATACCAATGGCCCACAGCACCCCGGGCGCCAAGGAAACCGGGGGAGAAAGCTCATACGGAGCCAGTTTTTGTGGCCACATCATGGCCGGTCCGGCGTTTCATTTTTCAACTGTCAGACTACCACAAAGCCAGTGACACTTTTGACTCCCCCGCTGGAGATGTTGCAGAAGGGGTTATCTGGGGACGCCTCGGGCGTGAATACATACATGGAAATTAAAATGACATTAGGTCAGGCGAGCGTAAAAAGCCAGAGGTTCCATTATTTTTTTGAGATTTAATTTTATGAAAGAAATCGTTTCATTTTATCTTTAACGGACACTGGCTCCGGGGCACCAATGAGAAACCTTTAAATGGTATCATAAATCAAGGGCGATTATAATCTTAACAAATGACTGACGACGTCAGCTCAGTGACACCTAACTAAACACTAACTAAAATTAACTGACAATATTTTTAAGACTGATCGGTAAAAAGAAAAAAAAACACACATTAACTAAGGGCCGTTTTCTCGTCTAAATGTCCACCTATAATAAGGTTTTAAACTTATTTTAAGCTTTAAACTTTACTGTTAGCCAGAAAACATTTGAAAGCCCTTGCTAATGTTAGTTTTAAATAAAAGTAACAAAATTACTTTTTAAAAAGCTTCCGCAGATTATTTAAAAATAACACTTTCTAAAAGTTTGCAAAATGTAATGATTTTGTAAGATGCATGGATTATATCGTTTGGAAACTGAAAAACCATTGCGACACTGCTAGAATTAAAACCAAATTTCGCCGGGCTTAACATTTCACGAATTACGCTTGGACATTCAACACGATTTGCAAAAAATTGTGTTATAATATGAATGCCTCAAGCAGTTCAAGCAGAACGCATCCCCTTAATATTTTGTTGAACAAAATGTCAAAGTTGTGACTTAAAGTTCACTTATTGGTTCCCACCATGATCTAGTTCCTAATTCTGCATAACCATATCTTTGTAAAAAAATTTAAGATGAATATGATTTATTAATAATATAAATATAAATTACCAAGAAACCCAACTGGATTTTATGAAAATTTCACTCTTAACAATATTAAACTTATGTTAATGCGAATCGAATAACACTTGTTTTAAACTGGTTCATTTAGAGTTCGGCAACCCTGGAAAATAATTGTAAGGAGCTTGTCAAGCTGTCACATTTTTAGTAAGTTCATGGATATTATACTGAGGATTTTCGCGATCTTTCATTCTGCCTGAGATATATCCACTACGTTGATTTGAGAGGAATGAGGCAAAGGATGGAGGTTTCCCAATTGGTAAAGAACCAGTGCCCCCTACTCCTCTCGCTTGAGAAGAGCAGGTTGAAGAGCGCAGGGCAGGCGGAATGCAGCCCGCTAGTCCCCTTCTCCTTCCTCCCCGTCCACTTCCCTGTCCTGCGGGAACTGCGCACCCTGTCCATCGGCAACATCTCCCAAGCAGCTCTGGAGGAGCTCTTCATAAACTGTCGACGACTGGAGACCTTGGTTCTGACCGACAAGATGGCGCCCAGCAACATCTACGACATTCGGAACATAGGTCTCTGCAAGATGCTGAAGGCGCTGCTGCTGCCATTGGAAATCGGTACTCCGCTGGCCATCTGTCACCTGGGGAACCTCACCCACCTCACTCTTCAGCGCCAGAAGCTCTGGCCGGGAATGGACTGGCTGCCCACCGTGCAGGCCATCATACAGGCCAAGCGGTTCGACCTCCAAGGACTTAGCTTCGATGGCTCCTGGCTGGTGGCCCCTTTGAATCTGTCCCAGCTCCAGCTGGCCCAGTGCACTGCTCTCACGGAGCTGAGACTGAGCAACTGCAAGCTGGACGAAGTGGGCGGTCCGCCGTTGCCCTTCTGCTGCCAGACAGTCAGCTTCCGGAGATGCACCCTGATCAAGCTTCACAGCTACATAAAGACCCATCCGCTGTTGAAGGAGCTGGAGCTGTTCGACTGTCGCGTGATGTGGGAGGCCGACCTGCTGCGGCGCATCGTGAGCCTAAGGAGGCGCCAGCCAGTTCTCGGACCACTCCTGCTCACCTTCAGCCAGTCGACGCAGCTGAGATCGGAGTACACGAAGTGGACCAAGCAGCATCTGGAGGCATTCAGCCAGTGGCTGCTGATGAAGGAACTGGAGCCACAGGAAGCGAATACCTGGAACCAGCCAATCGGTACGGTTTCCATGAGGTTCTCCTCAACCATCAACTATCTGCCCAATCTCAGGCTTCCGGAGGAGACCATTCCTAATGCTGCTTTTATAGTCACGAAGTTGGGTCTTTTGTAATTGGATTTGAAGTTTGAAGAACTTTGCACGTATAGGAAAACTAATTCGTTTGTATTTTCTTCATATTATTACATCAGTTCCAAACGAATTAATTTTAACGGAATTTAAAAGAAAGTATTGATATGAAACGGTTACCTTTTAAAAATTGATTTTAAGTCAGGCATGAATTAAACTCAAAACGAGTAGTTCCACTTATTCATTTAGAGAATATTTTAAAATGATATCCTAATTTTAATGTGTCCGCTTCGACATCTTTTAAAAAACACACAGAGTAAGACTTGCTAATCAACTAGTCAAGAGTACGAGGATTTAAGTAAAAGAATGTATCTCTCGAACAAGAATTTGGTTTTTATCAAATTTTAAGATGAAGTATTATAGACAAGTGTGAAATTAGAACTGAGATACAATTTAACATACAAATTTTAAACTACAAATATCTGTATTTAATAAACTCTCTTGCAAATCTGTGACCTCAAGTCTATCAAATTTATAAAAATTTTAGTCAGAAAAATAAGTTAATAAAATTGTGCTTTTATAATGAATTTGTAGAATTTAATTTTGAAATTCTTGCGGAAAACACTTAAGGCCCATCCCAGCACCGAAAAGCCATTGTACGCACCCACGATTTAATTAATACAAATCCCACGTAAATTCCTTCAGCCGACAGATGCCCCCATTCACTTCAAGTGGCACCCACCATATAGAACATATCAAATCTAACCTTCCATATTTGCTTTAGGATCGCCATTTTTCCGGTTGGACGAGTTTTTGTTTATCAGAGAACTCATAAATAACGAAAAAGTTGCCAAAAACAAGGAGTAAAGTGAAATTTATGTGTACCGCATGTAATTAATAATAAAAGAAATCGGGCAAACGAATTAAATGGTTCTGTGTGTGTTTAACTTGCTTGTTAGCCTGTCCAGAACGGCGCTTAATTAGACCAGCTTCCCCTGTGCACACATGCCATGAACCACCGGCCTGGCCATTTTCCCGAACTTTATGTTTGAGCCAACTTAATGGGGTCCGAGCAGCAGTGCACCAGCTAATCAGGTTAACCAATCCCAAAAGCAATGTTAACCAGTTGTAATTGGGTGTTACCCGTACGGGGGTCATTGGACAGGTTGGCAGGAGGACAGGTGATGGCACAAAGCAAAGATATCGTAAATGGAATTAACTGAGCTGGGGACCGTTCGAGAATGCCTTGGTCTTGTAGAGGGTATATCTGCCAATAATACTATACACTTTGCCTAGTGGCAGAGAATCGTTTCTGAAATAGTTTTGGCCTAAGTACATAATTAATAAACTAAATTAGTTTATTACTCAATTATGCGTTAAATTTAATAGACTATTTTAAAAACATTTTTTGTTTCCTAACATGTTATTTAAATATATTTCACATTGTGTTCACAGGGACCAGGGAACGAAAATATCTCTTATTTTCGTTCTTTCATTAAAACTATAATACTTTTCGTATATCACTAAAATTTTGAGAACAAATTAGCAATGTTCTTATTTCCAATGGGTATTTAAATATTGTAAAAGTTATTCAAACACTTTTTATAAAGTTTAAAAATAGCTGTTATTGTCTGGTCAAAAATATTAAATTCAAATAAATGTAACTCAAAAATTTTTATTATCAAAGCACAAATTCAACACCTTTCAGTATTAAATTAGAAACTTACATCCATGGGCTTGCACACAATTGGTATTTTTTATCTTTTGTTGCTCGATAAATGTTAAAGAAAATTTAAAAAAGTTCGTTGAATATGTACATTTTTTCACAAATTTATTTTTGAAAATAGTAATAAATTGAACTGCTTGACTCGTTCATATTATAATACAATTTTTGGCAAATCGTGTTGAATGTCCAAACCTAATCCGTGAAATGTTAAGCCCGGCAACATTTGGTTTTAATTCCTGCAGTGTCGCAATGGTTGTTCAGTTTCCAAACGATATAATCCATGCATCATCTCATGGCGGCAGTCCGATTAGACACGAGCCCCCTCCGACTGGTTTTGGCCTTTTTCAACTTTGCACTCGAATGAATACGAAATTCACGCGAAATTCCCTGACAGAACCGAACCCACGACAAAGATAAAGTTTCCACCAGCGAGCAGGCCCCATGCCGCAATTCCCCCACTTGAATTATTATGTTATAGCTGCCGTTCTGGGTCGGGGGCGTTTCATGTTCCGTGTTCGGCGTTCTGTGCCCCAAACCCGAAAAGTTTGCACCAATCATTGCTCAACCATTTGAGTAGAAATTTTAAATTTATTGCCCTAACAATGCGACAGCAAACAATAACATTAACAAAGTAATAATTCAAGACCCTTTAAATGATTTCAATTATTTGCCCAAAATGTGTGACAAGCGCCGGGAAGGATGGGCAGTCAGAGTGGTAATGCAAAACTCAAAAACCGAAATCAGTTTATGTGGTTTACTGAACAGTTACACTAATTACCGCACAACAAAACCATTGTAGCTCTCATTTATCGGTGTTGTTTTTGCACTTGTTGTACTTCAATTTGTAGTCGGTTTCTGTTTTTATAAACTTTTGTGTGCAAATAGTTTTTAATTACATAGATATGCTGGCAGCAAGAATCACAATTGAAAATCTAACGAGGGAATAAAGTTTAAAGCAGATGGATTTTCATTTCAGTCAGTTCTGGAACTTTTACACAATTACTACACAGGAATGAAAAGAAAAAAATAAACATTTTCCTGCTCTTCAATAAAATTCAAATAAGAAATAACTGCAATTGGCAATAAATATATTTAATATCTAAGCTTGATAGAGGTCTCAAAAGTATTATAATAAAATTAGTCAAGTAAGTTTTTATTGAGATATAAATTCTTAATTACTTGTTGATTCATTGCTAGCATGGACTTCAAATATTTTATTTCCAAGGAACACATAAATACGTTTTTTTTAATCACTTGGAATCGACTAAATGTATCCATTATTTTTAAATTAATTAATTAATTTGTATAATATTTAAACAACTCACAAGGTACCACGCCAGCAAAAAAAATCTAAAGTAATAATAATATTGTTATTTTTTAAAGAAAACTAGCTTGAATGGAAAATGGTATTAAAAAAAGAATTCCTCCTTAATTATAAAGAGTAAATATGTTTGAATAATTAGCTTTTTGTTATTAAATCTTGCTACAAATAAATTACTGAGAGGCTATGTTATTTATATCTGCTGGCAAAAAGCAGGAGCCGAACTTAACCGGCATTAGAGTCAGAAGTTTATACCAAAATGTTCTATTGGTTAACCTTCCCTTGCATTTCAAAATACTTACGGTAGGTAATTATTTACATATAATTCTAAATAATTCTAGTCTGTCGTATGACATGTAAACATGTAAAAATGGTTATAGTATCTATTCACGTATTATAACTATGCAACAAATATTAAAAAATAAGAAACATTTCGAATGAAATTTTATAACAAAATTTTATAATAATCAAGTTTAAAACTGCGTCAAATCCTGTTTGTGCAGTAGTAGACGGCATCAGAACTTTTGCAGAAAAATTAAGTTGTTTAAAGCCAACAACATCAGCTACTTAGGCATTGCAACTGCCTGCAGCTGGGCAACGCAACTTGAGAGTGGAAAGTGGAAAACTATTTCAGCAAATTGTTCTCGAGCGAAGCATTTAATAAAAATGTAGAATTGAGAAACTCTACTGTAGTCCCCGGCCCCACAGATTGCTGACTTTATGTCCGCTCTGTGTGGGCATTTGCCATAATATTATTTACATAATAAATACTTAGTTGTTATTTGTTGTGCTGCGCGTAAATTTGCCGCCCGAGGCGAGACGGCGGAACGGGGAGGCGATGCCCGAAAGTGGGCACTGCCACCGCCGGTGGGCGGATGTGGGTGGGGTACTTGGGTGAATGTCCTTAGCCCACACTGAATGTATAATGTGGGCGGCATGACTCTGTAATTTCAGGCCCATCTGCGGGATTTCATGCTCTAATAAAATTGCAATGTGGCCGCGAGCTTAGAGCTTGATTGGATCAGAATAAGGACGAGGAACAGTGACCAGTCTGCCAGGACTGTCATTGTGCTGTAAGAATTCCAAGGGAAAGTCAAGTCGTTACATTGAACAGTCAAAAGATCTTAATAAATATTGCTAAAAGATATCATATTTTTATTTGTAACAAAATAAAGATATAAATCGGTATCGATATAATCTTTCAATTTATAGAATTTTGTATGTGTATAAATTATTATATTAAGTTTAGTTCCGATTTAAAATATACATATATCAAGTAAAAACTATATCCCAGCCTCTGCAAATTTATCAAGTTATTGAAAATCTGCAATTCTGCGTTTCATATTTTATATTCGATTTATTTTTTATAGGTATTTATTTCTTCTGTATTTATCTAATATATCTAACATTCAATTATTTTAACCAAACTAAAGGAAAATGAAATGAAAACTTTTGGATATTGTCAGTAATTACATTATTACAAGCAAAACTATTTTTATACCCTTGCAGAGGGTATTATAATTTTGGTCAAAAGTGTGCAACGCAGTGAAGGAGACATCTCCGACCCTATAAAGTATATATATTCTTGATCAGGATCACCTCCTGAGTTGATATAGCCATGTCCGTCTGTCCGTCTGTCCGTCTGTCTGTTTCTACGCAAGCTAGTCTCTCAGTTTTAAAGCTATCAAGTTAAAACTTTGCACACAGCCTTCTTTCCTTTGCACGCAGTATATATGTCGGAACGGCCGGGATCGGCCGACTATATCCTATAGCTGCCATATAACTGATTGATCGGAAATGCCATAACTTTGGTGTTTGTAAAGTTAGGAAGTTGGAATTTTCTATGGGTTTTATATTTGGCCAATCAATCCGACCTACCAAATTTCATAAGGATCGGCCGACTATATCTTATCGCTGCCATATAACTGATTGATCGGAAATGCCATAACTTTGGTGTTTGTAAAGTTAGGAAGTTGGGATTTTCTATGGGTTTTATTTTTGGCCAATCAATCCGACCTACCAAAGTTCATAAGGATCGGCCGACTATATCTTATAGCTGCCATATAACTGAACGATTGGAAATGCTATAACTTTGGTGTTTTTAAAGTTAGGAAGTTGGGATTTTTTATGAGTATTAAGAATGCATCATATGAATAATTTTGGAGAATATAATTTACAGAGTATTCTGCAAGGGTATATCAACTTCGGCTCCGCCCGAAGTTAGCTTTCCTTTCTTGTTAAACATATTTTTTTCCATAACACAAGCTTTAAACTGAGCTAATAGACTTCTAATTTTTAAATTGGTCCTATGATTTTCAAATACTTATTGCTAATCAGCATCATAACTCTTTGTTTCGCACGAGGAAAAATGTGATATATTATGTTCTTGGTTCGATCACTGTACATTACAACGACTAAAACTACCATTGTTTTTTATACTGCTCGAGAGATACTTCTCCAGGACCTAGGACCACAACCATCAATAGACCTCCTACCACCGATAGAGTGTGGAAGCAGTTGTACTTGAGCAGGTCCCTCGTGTCTCCATCGGTCAACCACCAGGCATTCGTGGTCACATTCCACATGGTCAGAATAAGCGATAGACACAGGGCAGCCAGTCGAGTGCGATATCCCATTACGATGGACGACATCAGGATTAGTCCAAAACCGTTCAAGGCCATGGCAGCAACTGTGAAATACTGCTGGAACAGGGTCAGATACATGAGGGCCAGCAGGATCCTTCCGGTGAGCTGCATCAATTGCTGGGATCGCTGGCCCACAAGGAAAGGCAATCCAGCTCCTGCCCCGTAGATCCGGCTGGCAACAGCCTCCTTGTTTTCCACATGGAGGAGTAGTAGGCCTCCAAGGAGCGAGCAATTGCGTAGCATCAGGTGCAGTCGAAGTGGCACTTCATATATGTGAGCCTGAGGCAAAGAATTGGAAAAGGGAGTTTAAAAAATCATATATTTTTTCGGTTAGTACAGGGTGCGATATATTTTATGTTGGTATAACTAAAAAAGGAAAAAAGGAATTTTCAAATTTTAGGAATTTGAGCCCTTTACAATTTATGTAGACAACTTAAAATTACAAAACCGACATATTTTAATAATTCTGTGTTATAATATATAAAGCGTTATTTTGTGTAAAATGATTAATAATGTTTTGAAGAATATTTTGCATATTTATACAACCATAAAAAGTAATAGAAAATATGTAACATATAATAGAAAATTATCTTCAGAAGCAAGAAAAAACAATTTTTAAAAATTTAAATTTTAAGAAGTTTCATTTTAAGGAGTTATTCCTTGGTGGAGGTAACGACTAGAACTTACCTGAAGCAGCACCAGGCCGGCCAGCAGGGTGACCGCGAAATTAGTAAACAGGTGCAGCAGGACCAAACCACAGCCGACCAACTGACCCACCAGGTTCAGAAGGACTATCGCCACCGCAATTTCGGCGGAGCAGTTGTGGTGGTCCTGGAGGATGGCCTGCTGTTCCACCCACTGGAACCACATGCGCAGGGCGTCCTCGAAGAAGGTGGCCACCAGGCAGGAGCGGGCTACCGAGGGCAGGAAGGGGCGGCAGCGGTGTGCGACCTCCTCTCCCAGATCCTCCGCCTTTTGTAGCCAGCGGATACCCGCCTGGGTCACAGCCATGCCCTGAGATTTCTGCACCGCAAACTCCACTTACAAGCAAAGTGATTTCTCTCGGCGTCCCAGGCTGACAGTCGTGGCAGTGGTAACAAACGGCCAGTGCCAGTCTGAATAATCGTTCCGGTCTGTCTCGAGTCGGTGGCACATCCTGAAAAGATTGCTCTGTTGCGAGGAGTGCAAAGTGGCCCTCTTCTGGGCACAGCTGTCGTTTTGGAAATTGTATTTTGTAATGTATTCCTGTCATATTACTTTATTTTTGTGTTATTAGAAAGCCCCAAAGGTCTTTTAGTCAAGGGATTTTGTTTGTACATTTTTCATAAAAACTAAGGTGAGATTATCGTATTTAAAGTGCCGCCAAACTATTCATCCGAGAAGGTGTTGCGCACATTTTATCCATTTTAATTTCGATTGCCAAACAATTTTTTATGTTTTTATTATTTGCACTTGCGATAACAAAACAAGCCAAAGAATTATCTTTATACTGAATTAAAGTTACTAAAAGGCAATGATATTTTTGAGTTTTTATAGGAAAATTATAAATTTAGTTGCTTAGTCTTATTTAAGATTACGTATTTACCAAATTGCGTATGATGACTATATTTTTATAATTGTGAATTATGTTCGACATGATTAATGACTACAAAAAATGTAGATGGCACTATTGCCCATTATTATTATTATTAGTAGAACAAATTATAAAATCCCCATTAACTTTAATTAAAAAAAAGTCCAACTTTTAATTTCGGCGACTGGTTTTATCTTACAATTTGATTAGATTGTTTCGACCATTAAAGTTTTACACATCTAGCTATAAAATATCAAATATTCAAATCATTCATTCCCTTTTAATGCGAATACCATTTTTAATTTATTTTATAAACCCATTTCAGTTTTTCATAATTTACTTTTTGATTATTACCGCCTGAGCACCATTCCCCAGTGCCCAGACAATAGCATCTGGTGTGACAAAATACAAATTCACACAAAATTATTCCACATCAATTGCGAGATGGTTTTCCGCCACGAAAAAAATAAATCCACCGTCCGTACAACCCCCCAAACACTTGACCTGAAATGCAACCGAACCAAATGCCCTAAGCAAATAAATTGGAATTTTCCATGATAAATGCAATATGCTACTGCAAAATTTATAAAATTTCTAAAATACATATTTCGCAATTTGTCAATTAATACACAAAAAGCTTTAGCTAATGCGCTCAATTCTATGGTGGGAGGAAAACAAACAGTTTTTCGCTAGTTTAAATGCAACATAATTTACCCTGTGCTATGGCTTGGGATGCACCATAATTCAATAAAATTACTTACTTTGCGGTAAATTAAGAAAACGATTTGAAAAAAATAAAGTCAAAATATTATAAAAATGTTGATTAAAATTAGATAAGCAATGCTTAAATCCCACATTTAGCTTGCCATTTGACAATTAACTCTTAAGATGCATATCCCGATCGGAAAGGGTAGTCCATGCATCGCATTTCCTCGTAAACTTTTTGCAACCCTCAACTGGCAGCTGCGTTTCGTTTGTTTGTCAGTTTGACAGAAGCCCGAAATAATTATTTGTGCAGTGAAAACTTCGATAAGGTTCTCAACTGATGTGCTGCCCATCATTCTTGACCTATTTTGCAGCGCTGGCAGCCACGGCCACCCCGATGGAGAACGCATCGCTAATTACTCCGCCGGCGACGGGGACAAGCACTATGGCGGTGGGGTCGGGCTCAACAGGATCTCCTCTCCTGATGCTAGGCGACGGCCTGCAGGAGCAGGAGGACACCACGGTGCTGGATTCTTGGAGCGACAGGCCCGACACGGCGACGCTAACAAAGGGCTTCTCGATTCCCACGTATTTGCCGCCGTTTCCCGAGTTCATCCCCGCCGACTTGCCGCACCTGCAGCAGAATGCCTCCTTCGGAGTCGTGCATTCTGCAGACATCACCCCATCCGGCAGTGCCACGCCATCCAACGAGCAATCCCGTCTGCACGCCTACGACAGCGAACAAAAGGCCCAGCAGTTGCGACGCGAAAAGGAGCTGGCCAAGGAGCGGGAGCTTCTGCCCCGTCGCCAGCTCAGCCTGCCCCCGCTGAATGCCACCGTCCAAGCTGGCCAGCACGCCTATCTGCCCTGCAAGGTGAGTGATGGCGATGAGTGAAGGGGGACAATGGGGAGCCATCCAGTTGAGTGGCGTAATTGAAAGCGCCGAGTGAGCAGGCCACGGTGCGGAGAATACGCTTTCCGTTGCGAAACTGAAATGATTTCAAAAGTTTGCAAGCAATTTAATCATTCGATTTAGTGGACAGGTATAGATAGAAGCCGTGTTAAACAAGCATTGGTGGGAAATGGGATCATTGCAAAGCCCTTTATTCGGCTTTAACTATGCCAAATTATCTTTGATGTAGATTGCATTTAGTTCGAGAAATCAACAAATTATAATAAGTTGGCTAAATTTCCATTATATTATAAGTTCAATCAAAAAGTTGAAAAACATTGAGGGGTAACCTTAAAATAGCTATGTCCGTCTATGTCTGCCCATTTCTGGCTTAGCTGGACAATTGAAAAAATAGTTGACACAAAAAACATTTTATTTTAAAAAAAATATACGAATATACTCCGAGATAAAGTCTTTTTTCTACTGTTCCAGAAACACCATTTAATTTTTGTTAAAAGCGGCCAACCATATCATATAAATATAAATATCTGCCACGCAAACTTAAAATTCATCATGAAAGATTGCTTATGATTTCCCATTTCCCCCTGCAGCTCAACCAGCACTCCGGAAAACCGCTCTCCTGGGTGCGTTTGCGAGATGAACATATCATTGCGGTGGATCATACAACCTTCATCAACGATGCCCGCTTTGCATCGCTGCTCCAGTCGTCCACAACGACGACAGTGGTATCAGGGGCTGCCCTTCCAACTTCAAAGACCACCTCGGTTGCCCCGGGAAACGGCTCCACCCATGGTGGTCCGGAAGTTCCGGAGAGGGGCAACGGCAGCAGCCTCAGCTGGACGCTGCAAATAAAGTACGTGAAGCTGGAGGACGCCGGCTGGTACGAGTGCCAGCTGGCAACGGAGCCCAAAATGAGCGCCAAGGTGCAGCTGTTTGTGATAAGTAAGTGAAAGCACTGCTAACCGACAAATTGTCCTACACAGAAACCAAAAAAAGATATTAAAAATAATTTAAATAATATCATATCATATTGATATTTATTTAATATATACATTTTCAAACAGGCTACTCCTCGCCTTTTCCCTCTGGAAACAAAAGAACGTGGTTAATTCCCTGCTGTCTATGCAATTTGTTTATCCTAATAACTATTATTTATATATGTTAATTTAAAATTTAAATATTTGTAATGATTGATTTGCCTTTACTTACGAATGACTTTAATTTGGTCTTATCTGATCCAAAGCTCTTCAAATTAATCATCAGATCATAAAAACAAATTAAATTGTACTCTCTGTGTAGACAGGAACCTTAAATAATTAACATTTCGTGGAGTAGTTACGCTTCCTTCGTTGGCATCAGAACCATGCTAGATAAGTTACGAATCTCTTGTCAAGAACGGAAATTAGTTTTAAAATATTGTTTAAAGATGTTTAATACATTTTAAGATATTTTTATTTTTCGGTCAAGAATAGTCAAAAATACTGTCTAATATTAGACTATTAGACAATGAGAAATTTAAGATGTTAGGCTTAGTCTGCGTTAAGTCAAAGTTTCTTAAACCACTCTTTTACGGACTTTCCGTTGTCAGTAATGTTTAAATAAAATATGGACTTTTTAAAGTAACCTGTTTTCGGTGCCGTTGTGTACTAACTGTTTATCCCACCCACAGCACCCCGAACCGAGCTAATTGGCGATCGACAGCGCTTTGTGAAGGCCGGCAGCAAGGTGGAGCTCCACTGCATCGTACGAGGCACCTTGGAGGCCCCCAAATACATTTTCTGGTACCGTGGCGACCAACAAGTCACTGCCGAAAATGAGGCCAGCGGTGCCCAGAGCGGGTGGTACACGCAAATCGACCGGAATATCTTCGGCAGCACCGAGCATAATCGGAACACGGTGAGCGGATTTGGGCAGAACTAGAATTCTTAAGATGATTTCTCACGGATATCGATTTACAGATTGGTTCACTGGTCATTCCCCTTGTGCGCAAGATTCACTCCGGCAACTATACGTGTGAGCCGGAAAACAGTGCGGCAGTTTCCATGCAATTGCACGTCCTGAGCGGTAGGTGACGCAAATTTGATACAGCTTAACACTCAAAAACTGAGAACGAGTTCTGTCTCGAAAGCAGGGTTCGTAAATATTTTTTATTTTAAATATAAAGATTTAAAAATATCTCCCAACATTAATCAGTCAATGATGATCCCAAGAAGAAAATATTTTAGATAGTCATTTCAGAGCTTGCGGTTTATTTAGATTCTTGTCCATAAGAATAGCTAAATAAAATGCTAGGTCATCCTTTCTGAAAAATTCTCGGTTGCCCCTTGACCCACCATATTTCCTATGATTAATAACGAAAAATTTATAATTTTATATTATATATAAAAATTAAGCAGTTACGATATCAAAACATAGTCATTACTACGTCTTGCTTATTGAGTATGTTTTACTTCAAAGCCTTAAATAATGAATATTTTACGAACCCTTTAAAGAGGCATATGTATATAAAGTCAACAAGTAGTTTAATATTTCTCATTTCAGGGGAATACTCCGCCTCTGCCATAAAGTCGACAGCTGCTGGCCTCCATAGATTGGGTCACGGCTACAGCAGTCTTCACCAGTGGTTAATCTTCCTCCTGGTGGCCCTGAACAAAACATGAGTGTTCTAAACAAAATACCTTCACGGAGAGCGCTGGAATTATCATCCAATCGGGGTGTATCGTCTAAGACATTAGTTTAATTTCTAGGTAAATTGCACTCACACTCAAAAGATTGCCATTGCTAATTCCGCTGACACTTCTTAAAGTCTAAGCCCAACTTTCCGAATATAAACAGCATTTTTATACAAATTCTAGACTTAACGTTGTTTTCCTTTTCTCTAGCAATTAGGTCTAGTTCATTAAGAATTACACTAAGCATCTAATTCCGAGTAACAAACATTTATTTGTTATTTGCGTAAATAAAGCCTGAGGCGTCTTATGTAAAGTGTGACTATTCCTATTTATTGTGTGATATGTTATTTTGATTAATTAAGAGGTTGCGAACAATTTAATAAGTTAAAAGTCGTTTACATAGTTACAATACAACACAATACTAACACTATGTAATAAACAAGAAAGGAAGCAAACTTCGGCAAGCCGAAGTTTATTTACCTTTGCAGCTTTTCCAAATCAACTATGTCTATATGTCTACATATATTACTAAAAACTATGAAGCTATGTCGATTTTGCGCTTCATTTGGCCATCGTTTCTATGGCAGCTATATGATATTGTTGTCCGATTTTAATTTAATTCAAACCGTAATTCCATAATATTTAAATATTACCAAATCCCAAAGAACAAACAAAAAAATTAAAAACAACAAAGTTATTTTTTTTTTAAATTTATTTTCCCGATTGTTTGTATGGGAGCTATATAATATAGTCGCCTGATCTGGCTCGTTCCGACTTATGTATAAACTACCTGCAATAGAAGGACAACTTTTGGGAAAGTTTCAAGCAGATAGCTTTAAAACTGAGGGACTAGTTTGCGTAGAAACGGACGGACTTACAAACGGAAGGACGGACAGACGGACAGATGGACGGACGGGCGGGCAGTCGGACATGGCTAGATCGACACTCCTGGCGATGCTGATCAAGAATATATATACTTCATAGGGTCGTTAATGTCATCAATGCATTGCAAACTTTTGAAATTATAATATCCTCTGCAAGGGTATAAAAAGAAAGTAAGCAATCTTGGGCAAGTCGATGTTCATATACCCTTGTCAAAATAAATTACTCTGTAAATCAATTATATTAATAAGTATATGTTTAAAAACAATGATGCAGCTGTATGATATTGCTTAAAACTACTATACCTTGGTGTATGTTTTGAAATATTAATATTTTTTTTTTCGTTTATATTGGTTTTATGGGAGCTGCATTAAAAAGTCGTCCGATCTGGACCGTTCTAACCTGCAATAGAAGAAGGAAGTTTCATCCATAAAGCTTTAATACTGACAGGTCGAGTTTCCGCAGAAACGTACAGATGAACGGACGGAAAGACGGATATGGCTAGATCGGCCGATCAAGAAGATTTATTTTTCATAAAGTCGTAAATGTCTCCTTTATTGCATTGCAAACTGAAATGGAGCATTCTCCTTAAAATTTATATTTGTTTACAGCATGCATCAATTTCATTTATTACGTCGCTATGAATTTTTATTTACATTTATTACGGCCCTGCTACTGCTTTGAAAAGAGGGCCTCTAAGTTCCCGCCTAATGCTCTTACGCCTACCATCGTCCAAGCTTAGGATCTTAACCCTAGCCTTCACTTATTTAAATTGAATTCACCTCCTGACAATCCTACCCCTCTGTTAATTTTTGTAGGTTTAAAAATGCAAATACAAAAACCTTTCATAACTCAAGAAAAGGTGGAGGCGGAGGAAAGCATCCACTAAGCCGGCACGCAAATAAAAAAGCAAAGAAAAAGAGGAACGAAGAAAAACTACCATTGTCTTGGCCATTGTTTTGCCTTGGCCATTGTTTTATGTCCTGGCCAACTATAATTTTGTGCGATTTTTCTGATTGCCCGCGCACTTTACGCTGCTCATTTATCAAACCACCACTGACCAGAGAAGAGAGCCCTGGCAACCGTGGCCAAGATGTGGCGAAAGTTTTATGGCCAAGTTTGAATTTCCCCGCTAAAAGTTGGCCCACATTTTCAGCTTCGCACACCTAGGTCCTATGCTTCATGCCTTGCTCCTTCGGCCACTCAACAGACAATTTACAACTGGACAGATGGCGCGAGAAGGGGGAACTTGAGGGCCTTCGGAATGGAGAAGGGCCACGGAGACTGGGCTAATCACTTTTTGATTTATTCGCCTTAGTCGCCGCAACCTGAAACTTTTGCCACAGTTCATATTTTTCTTTTCGCTCTGCGGCTGTCCCGCAGATTTCCTGCAGTTTTCCCTGTTGCTTTTGCGGTGTGGCCACCGCCAGCTGGAGGATATTGACAGCAGCAGATCGAAAAGCGCGGGGGATTAGCTCTGGCGAATATTGAAAAATTCCGCGGCTGGCAATCCGAGTGCCTTGCAGGCAACTGTCAACAATTTCTTAAAGTTCATTCCGCTCAGCCAACTGATTATGGCCCAATCCCCCTGGCGGTTGGAGCTGTATCAAAGAGATTGGCGCATTTTAATAATTCACATGGCAAACTGTTGAAAAATAAATTTCGTCCGCGCACTCCACGCCGAAACACATTTCCCTCGGAGGCGCTTTAAGGACACCCACGCCTTTATATCGGCAATTCACCTTGCCGGCAGGCAAAGGCTCTTGATTTTGGGTCCTTGCCTCGCTGATTTCTGTTTGCAGCAAGTGGTTAAAGTTTGCCGGTTGACTTTTAAATTACCTTGTGGGCGGCCGCCATTCAGAAGGTATTGAAACTTGGCCTGCAACTCTCCGGCCTCGTCTACATGAAAGGAAATGCGTGGGACATCACTAAAAAATAATTATAACCATTGACACTGGCATATAAATATTGGCCCAACAGCCATATAATACTAAGCCTATTAACTTTTTGGCATATCCCATTAAACCAAAGGTGTAGTTGTGTTTTTAAAAAAAAAAAAGTTACCATAATTTCTCATAAGAACTATTTTAATACATATATTTTAAAAGCCAAAAATAATCATGTTTTTAAAAAAAATTTTGTTTTTGCTCAGAAATAATGATGGTTTTAATTTTTATTTATTACCCTGAAAATAACTAATATTTGTAAGCGAAAACTAATAAAAATAATCTTTTTTTTTGTGAGCAATACAAAATATTATTATTACACAATAGTGCTCAATGTCCTGATGCAGACATTGCGGAATTATGACAATATTCAAACCCTTTTACAAAATTAAATATTTTGGTCAGAAAATAGTCGTAATTCTTTTTTTCGCTGACACTGACAATTATTTGTAATTTTTTGTATTAATAATATAAAATAATAACAAATTTATCATTACTGATCTATTTATGTAGACATAATAAAATCAAAAGTAAAATATTTTTATTTATATCCATATATATTGCTTATGGTCTCAGATTCGAATTTATTAATTTTACCGACGGTATTAGAAGTAGAAAGCCTAATCAGCACCTCCTTTAAGTTTTTAATATTTAATATTTTAAATACATTTGCTTACCTCAGGGCAAACTTTTTAAAGTGCAGGGACAAAAATTCACTTTTTTAGGCATCTGGCTTATCTGGCAATTCTGGCGTTATTCTTGTCAAAGCAGAAATTGAAGTAATTTAGTAAGATTCCCCAGAATGCCAGCTAAATTGGAAAATAATAAGCACAAATATTTGCGAAATAAAAACGAACACAACCCAAGCCAAATCTTTTTGTTTTAGTGTGAGCAGAATTCACCAAAGGCATTCTTCAACTTTTTCCGCAATTATTAGTACTGCGCAAACTTTGATTTAAATTTCTAAGCCGGCCGCCTTGCCAGTGGCAGCGGCCAATAACACGTCAGCCGCTTGACTTGCCCTTTGCCAGCCTCATGAAAAATGTATTTAGGTAGGTCAATTTTCGACCTGTTGATGTCTGGGAACAGATTATGCTTAGGTGAGTTGTGCGCACGACCGTTTTCTGAAACTTAAAATTTCCCTCGGCGGGAAGTTTGAAACTGTTCCCAACAAACAGCTGATTTCCGTAAATTGCAAGCCAAAATGTAGTCATACCTTTTTTTTATTTCTCAAAAAGTTATTTATTGCTTGGATTTTTCGATTTTGCAAATTTCAAAGGAAACTAAGTAAACTTGTGCATTTTTGAAGCACTGCAAATCTTATTTAAAATAGTTTGTTTCTATTTTATTTCTTTATGACGACTCAGTAAGTCAGATAAATGTATATCCCCCTACAAGTTCAGATAAGTACTTTCATTTTTGTTTTTCTAATAATTAACTTTTATTTTTCATAAATATGCACAATTGTGTTGCTGAATTTGTTTGCATTTTGATATAATATATATAATTGTAATATTTAAACCTAATCGCGCTTAAAGTGAAACTAAACGACAATTTTTGCATTTCTTTTTACAGAAGTTATTCATACATCGATTGCATATTTTTGTTTTATTATTTTTCAATATTTATTTAAAAAATACTTTTGCTTATTAAAAATAAATCGCGTCTTACAAATTAGAATTTAGTGTCGATTTGAAATACTTGGAATGCACAAAAATAATTTGACACCTTGGTCGGTTGGTTTTCCAAATAACTTTTTTTATCATAAAGAGTTCATACAAATAACATCCAGTAAATGGGTGTGCATGTTTTTGTTATTTTAAAGCCATTCGGTTTTCGTTTAGTAAAATCTTATTTGATTTAAATTGGTACTTTCTCTAAGCATATTTAATTAACAACTTTTACTTGCTTTTTGTTATGCTTTTGTTGCAATCAAAATGTTTTTAAAAAGGTTGCATTAATTCAAAATATATTTGTGAACTTTTAAATATTTTATTACTCTTTCGTTCGTGGTTTGTAAATATATAGCTTTAATAATTGAATAATTGGACCATTTGTTTTAACGTTGTTGTGGCTTAGAGTTCTCTAAAGAATACAGTACATATATATTAACGTTTTTTGTTCCGCACGATTCCCAGGTAAATATATGTATATCTAAACTAACTCTGCTCATTTACACTGTTTTTAACCATTAATTGTATGCTGTAATCTGATGTAACTAATTGTTAATCATAGGGTTTAATGTTAAATGTTTAAAACGCTTTACAAATGTGGCTCGCCTCGCTTTCGTTGCCCTGTCTAGGCTCGTTATAGTTTTGTATATATAAACATAGGTATATATAGACTATAATGATATACACTGACAATTCTCACTAATTGAATTTAGTTAACATTTTCTGTGTGGCAATTAACTCGGAAACGCGATAACTATGGAGTGTTATTGCCTTGCTTAGCAAATTCGTTAGGTATGTTTGTTTCTATCGTAATCTGGTATATATAACTTGATCTATATATCTATGTGTGTATTTTGTAGAGCTAACGTAACAACTTGGCCCCAATATATTGAAGTATAAGCTTTGTGGGTTCTGTATGTAGTGGGTCTGTATGTACATAGCATTTAGCAACGATCTCTCCTCCTTCTTAGTGCACCGCATCTATATCTCGCTGGGCCCGCGATATCTTCAGCTTGTCCTTGGGCGTGTTATCCTCTCCCGACTCCAAAGCAAACATCTTCATCTTCTCCTTGAACGAAAGCTTTTCGGGCACCGCATCTCCAGCGCGTTGTTGCTGTTGCTGCTGTTGCTTCTCCGCCAGGCGACGCGTGCGAGGATCTCTGTAAGAGTGGGTTAAATTATTTAGTAAAAAGTTTATTGGTCTACGCTTGGTAGTTTTCATACCTATACACCTCTTGCGCTCCAATGACGCCGGGAGTCGACTGCACTGAGGTATTCCAGAGGGCAGTATCGGGAGTAGCTGGCATCGATGGCAGCATGGAGGCATCCAGATTATGCTGCAGATACTGAACAATAAAAAGTATATATTTATAAAATGTGATAAAGAACATGGAAATTAAAATGTTTTGCGGTAAAACCGGAATCAAGTTGTGTAATCCAGAGACGGCCAGAAAAAAAAAATTGAATCATATTGACAACAAAGATAACAACACTTTTCATGTAGTAAAGAAAATAAGAAATTATATACCAATAAATAAAATATTAAACAGATTCCACTTACACTGGTATCTTCTCTGATAGTGTCCAAATCCTGATGCTCCATACCGAAGTTGTCCATGATGTATTGCTGCTGCAGCTGGCTATTTCCGCCTACAAAGTTATTTTCTTCGTCGTGGAAGCTCACCCGCTTGTTGTCCCTTTGCATTAACGGCGGCGGCGGAGGTGGTGTGCCCAATCCTCCAACCATTCCTGTTCCCGTAGCCGAAACATAGGCGGCATTGAGTTCCATGGCGCTAAGCGGTGATCCCTGCATGGTGTTGTTGTTCAAGCTGCCACTCAGATTGTTGTTATTATTGGTTTGGGTGTTCAGTAGCGAAGCCTTTTTAATCTCCACGGCAGCTGCTGCCTGATTGCTAGTGGCTGTTTTGAGTAGACCCATTGATGAGGTCGCGTTTCCAGTGCTTCCCCGCAGTTTTTGCTGTGACATTATCAAGTAAGAACTATTTCTCTCCGGTGGCGGCGGTGGAGGAACTACAGCATCCAAGGTCTCGTTGTTATTATCCTTATCGAGCATCGTTAGCTGGTTGAGCTCTTTCGCCAGGTTCGATATGGGATGTTCCGTATGCAGATGTCTCTCATCCGCGAAACTGGCGGATTTCTGCGATTTCGATGGCGACGAGGGGGCTCCACTGGGCCCAACTCCTCCCTCGGAATATCGATTATGCTTAAGTATGCTCTTCGGCTGCTGGGTGTTGCTGCTCATCGGTTGTGTAGTGGGTGCTGCTGGCTGTGGAGCCGGCACCGAGTCCACCGGACTGCTGCTCTCCGTAATCTCCGCCAGCTTGATCTCCGTCTGGCGGTAACTGGTGATTGGTGTTTGTATGGCACTGACCTGGCCGCTACCAGCTAACCGGAACAGCTCCTGCACGTTCTCCTTGTCATACTGCTGCTCCTGGTCCTGCTCCTCCTGCTCTTGCAACTCCTGTGCTCTTCGCTCGAAATCTCGCTCTAAGATCAGGGTTTTCAGTTGCTCTTCTTGCATGGGAGAACGCGAGATGATCTGGGAGAGCTCCGAGATCTGCTGCTCTCGCCATTGCCGAATGTGTTCCCGTCGCATTTCCAGATCCTTTTCGCGCTCCTCTCTTTCCCAAGGATTGGTCCCGCTGTGAAGAGGACGGTTGCTTGCTTGGTTTGCGGGCACGTAGCTGCCCTTTGGGGGGTCCAAAGTACTGGCTACATAATTCATACCCGGAGCAATCTGTTGCGTGGCCTTAAATAGAGGATGGGTGGCGGTGGGCGGCAATGGAGGCTTGTCCTCCGCCAGAATTGGTTGTCCGAGATATCGCTGCTGTTGCTGCTGCGGTTTGGGCGCTGTACTTGGTGGAGCGTTTGGTTTATTGGGAGACTGTAGGCTGCCCAGGGGTTTCGGGGGCAGGGCTATAAAATTAGGTGACTGTTGCTGCTGCTGTTGCAATTGTTGCTGCTGAAGCTCGTAAAGCGTGGTTGGGTCATGGAGCTGACTGCGTCTATACTCCAGGCTGCCATTCTGATAGCCACCTGTAAAATCGTTGACATTTTGCATGCTCTGGCTGCTGCTCATAACGGGTTGCTGCTGTGGTTGCTGCTGCTGCAGAGGCAGCTGTTGCTGTTGTTGCTGCTGGTGGTGGTACATGTTGCTGATATTGGGCATCGATGGAGCCATCATCTGCTGCATTCGCAGGGTGTGCTGGAAGTTCTGCTGGCTCTTGGTGCGATTGTTCAAGGTGAGCTGGTGCTGGGACTGCTGGCCATTGAGATTGCTGCTGCTGAGTGCGAACTGTTGCTGCTGTTGTTGCTGCTGCTGTTGCTGGAGTTGCTGCTGCGCGGACTGCTGGCTGTGGTAATAGGCAGAGACTGGTCGAGTGGGAGGCAGATTAGCATTGGCCTGCAGATGTTGCTGCTGCTGGTAGGGCGATGGCTGTTGCTGTTGCTGCTGTGATTGTTGCTGCGGTGCAAGCGGGGAATTGCCATTGTAAGCGTTCATGGCGGCATGTGTGGCGATCGGCGGTCTAAAATAAAAGCAATTAATGTTAATAAGAGCATTCAATTCAGGGGTGTCGAGTTGCTGTTGGTGTGAAACAAAAACTTCGTCGCTTACACTAATTAACCAAAACGTGTCGAGTGCTTCGAAAACATTTGTTTTCTCCCCCTTTATTCTCCTGAACAAGTGACTTGTGACTTTATTGCAAAGGTGCGTGCCTCTGTACAGCAGCAACATTAAAAAGGAACGACAGTAGCTAATTACTCACGTACCTGGCAGATTTCTACAAGTTCATATTCTTTTTTAATGGGTATGAAGCCATAAAGTAATTTCTTTAAACGCAATGTCACCCTAGAAGTACACACAGGAGAGATAGGAAAAATGTAAGCTTACTATCCACATTTTTGTGGCCATTCTCAAACACTTCACCTGGCACCAACAACACGACCTCGAGCAACACCCCTAAGAACAACCTCGAAATCGTTGTAAATAATTAATAGGGTGTGCTTGTTTGGTTTCCTTTGTGAAGTGTGAGTTTTTGATAGCCTTTGAACTTAAACCTAAATTCGACTGTGTTTAATTGTAAGCTGATATATTATTTATCTTAATAAACATTACCCTATCATTTTGGTTATCACGGTCGACGATTAAAAATTCGCGCGTTAAATAGATAAAATAAAATATTCGTGCAAGTGAATTATTTTTTTCTTTTATCTGAATGTCATTACATCTGAATCATTTCTCATTTCTCTACGAATTTTAAACGAATTGTGTTACAGGAGATTTATGTGACACTCCCGAAAACATTCAACTGTGTTCTCTGTAGTCACATGTAATGATTTCCTGCTGTAGAAAACAAAACCCATCAAAAACACAACAATAACCGTAGCAAACCAAACAATTCCAGCGAGAACGGTTTTAGTGGTCAGCTGAACACAACTGAATTTCAAATGACATTTTAAAGTGGATATATATGCATTACCAAAATAAACACACAGCAGCGGTCAAAACACTAGCCAAAAAAAATTAAAATGGTTTTACAGAAAATATTATGTTAATAAAGTAGACAAATTTCAATTTTTTTATGCAGTCATGTAGTTTTTGGGATGAAATGTTTTTTTTTAATAATCCTTCCATAGGCCCACATATGTGTAATCAATAAATTACCTCTCGTTCAGAATCGGTTGGCTTTGATTTTGTGCCCGATACACACTGAGATTCTGATAGAATCCCTGCTCGTTGCCGTTGCCATTTCCATTTGCATTGTTGTGGCTGCCATTTGGCTGACCCAGCAATCCGGCCCCTCCGACTCCTCCTGCTCCGCCGATTCCCCCCATTCCTGATGTATTGTTATGCAAACTGTGCGTGCTGCGTGACTTGGAATTGGCCAGGGCTGAATGGAAAACGAGATGCATACGAGGAAGAGAAAAATGAATTAGTCTCTGGCTTACAAGTCGATTGGATTGTGCTCCGATTACGGGGATAAGAGGGAAGGATGGGGGTGTGCAGTTCACTTACATATGGTACCCGATCCCGTGTGGTGATGCAGAGCTGGCACCGATTTGCTGTTGGGCAGGTGTGCAGCTAAGGGATTGATGATGCTACTATTGTTGCTATTGCCTATGGTGTTGTTGTGGCTGTTGTTCAGATGTTGGCTGAGACTGAGGCTATGATTCGGATGACTATTGGCTATCAGTGGACCCAGGGATTTAGTCGACTCGGCGCCGCCCATCCGCGTCAGATCGCGTTCGGACATACGTCGATTACCTGTGGTTATCAGGTTTTTAGGTTGCCAGGAACATCATCATCATCATCATCGACGTCAGCGATTTGAGTGCATATTTTGGGAATTAAGAGTTGGTGGTGGAATTAAGGTTGATTGGTGCGCATAGAGGGGGAGAAAAATAGATGGACAGTTTGACATTTTAGTATGTTTCCTTTCAGTGTGGAAATGCAAAATGTGTTTAGTTTATTATTAATATATGCATTCAAAATCTAATTACACAACTACAATAGAGGCAACGAAGGAATTAAGCCGAGTGATGAAACTATAAAATTATATTTAAAAACATAAATATTCACAAAAAGCGCAATTGAAAATCTTTTGTCGACGCTCGTGTTTATTACATATTAATATTTAATTCAAAAGTCAAGGAGAAAAGTTCAACCATTGTAACGAAAACGCAGCAGGAAAATATAAAATTAAATATGAAGCACATACGTAAGTGGATGCAGAGAGAGCACAAAATTAATATACAAAAACGGTACCAAATTCCGTTAAAGTTGAAAAAAGGAGTTAGCAATTCAATTAAATAGATTTGATTTCTTTAGTCTCGATTGGGGTAATTGTTTAACCGTTTTTAGATCTAAGGCTTCAAAAGAAAAATCAATTTATATGGATTTTTTTTTTAAATTATTGTATTGAAATCCATATTAATTGATTTCCCTTCGCTTCTTTGAAGCGCCCGATTTAAAAATGGTTAAACGATTATCCTTCGATCCAAGAAAAAAAGGTATTGGAGCTAGGAGTTCTCACAAACATTGAGGACCGGTTTCTCGTGCTAATAGTAAGCCAAAAGTTGGTCCTAAATCGGCATACTATACGTTTTCTCCGTTTAAAACATACTACTAGCTCATCATTAAGACGAGAAAACGGGCTTATAAAACGATTGAAAAAGGTTTGTCGATTTAGGTAACTCAATCAGCTATGATAACAAACAAACAATCATACAGTTGAACAAAAATCTAAACGAATAAGCTAGACAAATTATATTTGTAATAGAAGGCAAAATCAAAAGCTAATAATTATAACAACGAGGGGAACAACATGAACCTCGGTGCATCTGGGTTGGGTTGTCATCTGTGTGTCGGACACACCGTTGCTGATGTTGGTCTTGTTGAGCTGGGCAATGGCATTTTGACACAGTGCCCCCCGCCGCCCACAACATTTGCATCTCCCTCATCATCATTATTGCCACCCTGAGTGGAATGGCCACGACTATCGAGCACATCGCAATGAGCAGCACAACAGCTGGATGAGGATTCACCAGCCGAGGAACAGGACTCGACTTCGCTGCAGCTGCAGGAGTAGCAATCATCAGTGGCATCCCCACAATTTGGACAGCTCTTTGAATTCCGCATGCTGCTGCTGCTGCTTCGCCTAGTGTTGCTGGTGTGGCTCTGCTTGTTGGTGGTGTTGCTACTACTGGCCAGGGACAACAGCAATTTGGCCGTGGAGGGCGGTGAAGCAGGCGCCCGAGGGCGTGGCTGCTTGTGACAGTGGTGATGATGATGATGGCGAGGATGTGAGCTTGACTTAGCCTTGAGTTGCACATGCTTTTGCTGTTTGTTGCGCTTCAGTTGCCGCACACTGTGAGCCTGGCGATTGCTGCACATGACACTCCGGCGGCAGTGTGCATATCGGGATAATTCCGGCTTATGTTTGGTCTGCTCCGCCTCATCGTCCTGGCAACTGTCGTAGCATTTAAAGGTGGCAACTACCTGCGGTTGCTGCTGTTTCCCTGGATGTTGCTCTTGTTCGGGGGCCTTGCCACGACAATGACCGCAGCAGGGACAATCGCAGCTGGTTCTATCGCCGGACTTTTCCGCTTCATCGTAGTCCTTGCCAGCGCTGCCGTACATACTCCACTCCTTCAGCTGCTTAAGGATTTGGCCCTGCTCCGCCTGCGAAAGTTTTGCACATTGCTTGCTGCCAGGATCATTCAAGGCCGACGTGGATCGGGACTTATTAATGCTAGGCGGGAAGTTTTTGTTGGCATTGAAGTAGTCCGCCATTTCACGAACCTTGCCCTGACCCAGGGGCAACAAAAAGCGGGGACTGAGGTTGACCTGGCTACTGGCCCTTCGGCTGTTTGCTTGTATAGTGGTGCTGGGGATGAGTTTGGTTTTTGAGGTGGTGCTGGCACAATATCGATTGCTTGTATTTACAGTAGGAGAACGGGGTGAGGAACTTTCGATTTCACACAGACTAGGAACTTGGATGCTGACAATTGGGGCAGTTGTAGCGACTCCTGACCTTTTGTGCGAGCGCTGGGTATTGAGTTGCCGCTGACAGGGCGGCTGGTTCTGCCGGAGCAGCGGCATGCGCTCGATGGATTCGCTTGATGAACGCTGGCTATTGGACCCAGAGCCTCCTGAACTAAAACCATCCGCGGAGCAATTTGTTGCGCGTTTGCTATTTAACTCTCTGCGTATCTTCTGTATTAGGGGAATCCGTTCGGATTGCTCTGCCATCAGGGATTCCGTGGAGGAGGCACTGGCTGCAAAGTGACTGATGGCGTCGTGCGTATGGTATTTCCTGTCGATTCCAGTGGCTCCAGGCTCAGCTTCTTCTGTTTGCTCCAGATCAAAACTGACTGTTTTTCGATATCCCGCTGCAGGATTTCTTTTCACAGTTGACGAACAACTGGTGGAGGACATGCATGGTCGCTGTTGCTGCTGCTTCTCCTCCTCTTCGTCATCTATAAAAGGAATCTGGTCTGAGTGAGCCATGGAAGCTATACCCTCTTCATTTAGTGGCTGATGGGCATCACTGTAGGCTGCAAAGTTCCCAAACGATTCCTGCGAGTCCTTGGCCGGCTCATCCTGGTACTCCTCGATGTAGATAGAAGGTGGTGGAGTTTTTCTCAGCGGTCTCATAGAACTAAAGTGGGTGACAGATGGAGCCAACGGTGGAGGGTGATAGTAGCCCACCTGATCGTTCCCTAAATACAAACTGCTGGCGGATCTTGCAATGGGTCGCGTGTCCCTGTACCTCGGATCGATATGCAACTGGTGACCCAGGGCACACAGTTCCTCCTGCAAACATGAGGCACTTAGACGTCTTACAGGAGGCGAGGAAGCCCGCATGCAGGCAAAAGATTCACGACGACTCCTGTTGAGGCTATCGTCTGAGATCGAGTTGTTGTAGTATCGAGCCTGCTGTTGAAACGAGGAGTGACGACGCTGCTGGCCAGGATTCAGGTGCTGGAGAAAGTTGCTTGGGGAAGCTTCTAGCGATTCGAGTGGAGCAGCATGGGGGATGGGTTGGTTACTTGGTTAGCTTACACAACGTGAGTACGGTATAGTAGAGTAGTGGGTGAGTATCTTGGATGATTGAGTGAGTTGAGTGTTCTTAGCGTCCTACCCAGCACCTGGAGTCGCTCTAATGTGTGTGTGTTGTATTGATATGTATGTGTCTAATAGTGGACTCCGTTGGGAGCTACTCACCACGCTGGATGACTGGGCTAGGCTGCTGCAGCAGCGTCGCCAGCCCGTGGTATATGGCTCCCTGTTTGGCCACCTCCAAACTGACCACTGGACCCGTCCGCACAAGGTAGTCCGCAGCCCTAGAGCAGAAATTCGAGAATAAGCCCAGATCTTAAATAAATTCAATCAATATTTATACCTCTCTTGGGTGATCCCAATCAGACTCTGGCCATCTACGCGCAGCAGCTGATCGCCAGCTTGCAGGCGTCCGTCCGCGTCTGCCGCTCCGCCAGGAACCACACTCTTGATATAGATGCCCAGTTTCTCCTGGCCAGCTCCCTTGGCTGCCACGATGGATAAGCCCATGCCGTTGCTGTTCTTGTGCAGCTTGATTAGCTGCAACTCCGGCTGGGGAAGCTTGTTCGACATGGCACTGGAACTGCGGGCCTGCAATGGATTACGTTGATCATTAACAAAGATCCTAAGATACAAATAGTGCCCCGACTGACTCACATTAAACTGATGCATATAGACCGTCCAGAGACCAATCGAGGTGGGCTGGGCCGCCAGTCGGCACATGCCCTGCTGCTGGAGGGGATTGAGGAAGTCGACGAGACCCGTGGGGATGCCTCTCACAACATCGCAGCTAAAACCATCGTCGGGTAGCAACAGCGCCAAGTGCAGCTCGGGCGACTCCTCCAACCGGACCTCCCGTCCATCGGCGCGGGTCAGCTCGTCGGCCACGGACTCCGCCATTCTTATAGCCGTATCCACTAAGTTGCGGGGCAGCTTCTCCTGCTGCAGCAACGCAGCCATCTGCAAGGAGTTCAAACGGAAGCAGGAGCAGGCCAATTGTTGAATTTCCTCTACAGAGGATTTGGGTGCCTGCAAGAACTGAGCGCACTGATTGATCTTGGCCAGGTGGCAGTCCGCCGCCAATTCTAGTCCTTGGCGTTCTGCCCACAGCTCTAGCAACTGGAGTCGCTCCGTCATCACTTTGCCCCAATCAGCTGTACACATGTGAGAGTTTGCCACAATCTGGTAAAAGGGAAACATCGAATTTAGTGTATTAGAAATGGAGTAGATTGGAAAACAGTGATGCTAACATAATAACCATTTTTTTAGTTAAAAAAACTAACTTTATATTCATTATACACTTTTTTTCTAATTCCTTTAATACTTTATTAAAGAAAAACATATAAAATTAAATGAACTTCCTTTTATAACAAATTAACCAAAGCACCTGCATTGGGATATATCAGTTTTTCTGTGGAAATCTTGTTAGCACCACTGATTAATAACTCTTGGCCATTTGTAGGCCGCTCACCGTATTGAAACATATGACATTGATGTAATGAAACAGCTGGGAGAACAACTGGATAGTTAGGGCTGCATTTACGCGACAGCGTCGAAGAAGAGCCATCGCCGATCCCAACACTGTCAGAACGAGACCCGCCGCGGAATCGTGATCAATGTTCTCGGAAAGAAACTGGTTGAGGGTTTGCGAGAGTTCCAGCCGGAAGCAGTTGACAAGGTTGCGAAACGCAGTCTGCACGGCCTCGGCCAAAACCTCTTGAGCCTGAACGCTAAAAGCGCTGATGTGGCGATCTGATTTAAGGAAGTGCAGGAACTCCGAGCTGTTGGCCATCCAAAAGGCTAGGATTCGAGGATCCGTGTACTGCTCTTGGACCACGCTGTAAACCAGATTGGCCACGTGGTGCAGGAACATGGTGAGCTTGTGGGCACGCTCCGTGGGTTGCAGCTCCGGGCGATAGTGGGTTGAGGCTCGATATCTGTGGATGAATTAAATGTTGTTTAATCCGCCTGCATTAAATAACCCTGTAACCCCATTTGTATCTATTGATTTTCACGCCCGTCAAATGTCAAAGTTCCCTTTTTCCCAAATGGTTGGTGTGTTTCCGTTTCCCGTTCCTACTGTTTCAGCTTGGCCACTTCCCTTTTCCCCATATCCTGCTGTCAGAACACATTAATATTAATAGCTCACAAATTGGGTCAGCAGCCAAGATAAATCATCATAATTGATAATGAATTGATGATACTGGCTCCTGCTTCGAAAGCTGCCGTTGAAGGAGCATGAGGACGAGAAACTACTGCCCTCTGAACATGTCGATCCACTTTATGTCTGGACATTTGTCAGCTGGTGTAAGCTGGTCTCCGTCCGTCTGCAATTTGTTCGTGTCCATGGGGTCTTGCTTAATGAAGTTCTGATTTGGAATTGAAATATAAATGGATTCATCGAAGGACAGATTGCTTTTGAAATCTGACACAGTAAACCAATGGCATTGAGGGACGAGTGAAGACAAGTTTTCTTCCTCATCTATCTCTACATAAGTAAAAGTTATGATACTTGTACATAAATAAAAGTAGTCTGATGACTTATAAAACCACTAAGTTATTTAGTCGTACTGAAGGGATTTATAAACGGATTACAAATTGTATTAAAGGTTTATCTTGTTTTTCCTAATTGCTTTGACAACATTTATATTTAATCTGGGACGAAATATAATAACGTAAAACATGTTAAAGATCAAAAGTAATTTAAATTTCAATTTAATCTAATTATCTGATCAGCATATATTTAATTCTGAAAACAAACAAATACATTCATCATTAAATAGTAGATAATTCTTACTTTGCAGAATCTGTATCAAACGACTTATTATATTCAAAAAGCTTTTCATGATTAAGTTTATGGCACACTAAAACATTCAAACAACAATTAAAGCCAAACAAGCGCACGCACAGAGTTTCACCATGCTCTTCCCCATATTCAAATGTCCCCCCATAATGAATTACCCACCTGGCACACAGGTAAAGTGAGTAGACGGGTGCCAGCTTAAAGTGCGGAACGTTCACATCCAGCTCACTGATAATGTGACGCAGAAAGAGTTCCTGGTGAGTTTCGGGGAACTCTAGGACAGCCGGCAGAATGGGTTCCTGACCCTGGGCATCGCCGGAACCGCTGCCACCTCCGCCCAAAAGACCAGAGCCGGCCATTTTGGGAGACCTATTATCGAAGAGGGTTAATTTATTAGTAAATCACAGTACAACAAAAAGATACAACAATTTTAGAATATGAAAAGCAGATATTGAAAAGGCCAAATTATAAATTTGCACAAGTCAAAAGCGCACACAAAATATCAAACAAAATTAAACGTTAATCAGACAGTGAATGTATACAATTATGCATATTTTGATTGCTTTGTGGTTATGTGTATGAAAATTGTGTTGGTTTTCCTGTTTATTTTGAAGATAGATTAATGATTTTAAGGTATGCAGATGGATCGAAATCGAATCTTACCGATCTTGGCTGTTGGAACCACCCGATTTCATGCTGGAAATTGACTTGGTCTCGTTCTCCAGATTACCCTCCAGGCTTTGACCATCGTAGTTGTTAGAATTGACCACCTGTTCCTGTCCAGCCTTACTATCCACCACGTCTCTCAGAGTGCTGCTCAGAGGATGATCACTAGAGTTATTATTGTTATTGTGATATGCACTGGATTGATTTGATTGCTGGTGTTGGTCGTAGTCGCTTTTGTGGGTCTACAAAATTAAAACAATTTGAAAAATAGTAGATAAAATAATAATAATGTATTTTAATTAAATTCTCACCGAACTCAAGGCTCCATCCTCATCGTTCCATGATCCTGGGGATGTGGGCGAGCGGCTGCCATTGTCCATGTGGTGTTTGCATCGTTGTGTCGACGGATGGTGGTGTTCAGGTGAGGGTGTGGGTTTGTGGAAATTGTTTTGCATATTTGTTGGGTAATTTTTTCGGTTTGGTGAGTGCATGAGATTAATGTTTTACACAAACAATAAAAACAAACAACACGTAACGAAACATAAACGAACAGCACAATAAGGCGTGTAAATAAAACAAAAAATACATAAATATGAATAAATGCGCAGAATACAAAAGAAAACACCCTCGAATTAATTTCAAACATTTTTAAATGTCTCGCCTAAGGTAAATTACTTTTTTTTAAATTTACACCTGCTGGTAACTAGGTATGCAAATTCAAGTCGTATATTGGCTTGGCTATTCATAAAGAGAATACGTAAGTCTGGCCTTCAGTCAGGTAAGTGGGGTTGGCCATTCAGAATGGCAAATGGGGGAAATATTCTGTTTGCTGAATTTCGCAGAAAGATAACTTCTTAACTTGTTGTAATTGCTTTTTATTTATGCAGCTTTAATAAGATTAAAATTCGTGATTTAAAATAATTGCTTTGTTTTAAATGCGGGATTCTAAGTGTTCGGCCTTTTAATAGGTTTGTGTTAAAAAATATATAAACTCAAATTAAATGTATACACTACGCTAGATCGGATTCAATAGGGATTTAATTTTTAAAAAAATACAAACTAAAACAATCGCATAACAGCAGCTGACAAAGCATTTGGCAGAAAAAGCGCTAGCGTAGCACAAATAAATTCACTAAAACCCGGATAATAAATTTCTGCCGGCTTACTCACCTTTCGTAGAGGCATGCTGAGTCCAGTTGGGATTGCGACAGAGCCAGATTATAGCGTCCATCCGTGGGTGAATCGAGGAATCGGTACGAGGCCACGCGTCCAAACATTACAACCGAGCCGTTCTGTGGATGGCAAAAAAGAAGCACATATGAATTAATTATATTAGCAGTCCGATGTGGCGAGGGTTAGGGTTAATGTGTTAAAAACCGTTTAAGTGGTTTTATAATTGAAATTAAGTGTGGCTACTATTTCAATATTTACACCGCGAAGGAAGAGTGAAGCACACTGACTGACAGATTCTGGACCACTGCGTCAGTGGTTGAACAATTTTTGGGGCGTTTTGAAATCTAAACTAGCAAACATAGACGCCCCTCTCTGGGGGGAGATTCAAAGGGAGATTTTTGTTAATTTTGTTGTTTTTTCTATTTATCTCTTTTTACGCTTGTTTGTGCTTCCCTCTAATGCTGATTAGCTTGATGAACAAATCTTTGACAAACACAGCCCCAAGAGAGCATTCGATTTACATTACTTTTTGTTCAGGTTCATCGAACCGCAGCCAACCCCAATTTGCCAATGGAAAAATAAAAAAAACCAATGACAGAAAATGAAAAATTTTTAATTTTGTTTGTTAAGCTTCGAAAATAAAATTCTTTTTTCCATGAAAATACCCCAAAGACAGTTTGAGGTTATTGCCGAGCTGGGAGCTTATCTCTGCTTCAGTATGATACAGAAGATACATGGAAAATCAAGTGTTTTTTTGTTTATTTGCTTTAAATTTATCAAGCGGAAAGTCAACAACAGAGAAAAAAGGCACAAACGACTCTGCCAATTTCCTTTCTTTTTCATGGCATTCCCTCTGACTTTTCCGCTAATGCGTGAGAACGCCGAAAGCCAATTTGATTCATTTCCCCAGTTGTTGTAGTTGCCGCTGCGTTTTCCGTTGTGTGTCGAAAAGTTGTCAAAACAAATGATAAATCAAAGCTTGCGGGATGTATACACCCTAGCACAATGGTATCTGTGTTTTTATTGTCTTTCCAACTCAAACTGAAAGCTGATATTGAACTTGAAGTGCAATTGAAAATTCGAGCTCTTACGGCTCGAGTTCGGTATCGTGTGTTTTTAAATTCAATTAAATTTATCACATGGATCTTTTTACACGCAGAACAAGTAAATTTAGAATATATTTGGAATATACTTGGAATTACTACTAAATTCAATACAAATTTCACTAAGTTATGCTCCCAGTCTACCCTTTAAATGCTTGTGACTGCTTAAAGTTTGAGCCAATCTCAATGCTCATTTATCTTCGAAAGTTGTCCCTATAAACGCTTGATTAATACAGGACGATTATAGGCTTGGACATTCTCAGACAGTTGGAAACAAAAAGTCCCACAAGTGTAAGGAAAGAGACAAATAACAGACGAATGGAACTTGGCAGCTTTTAAAACCCTTTAAACTTCAACCGGGTCAAGGTCGATGGTAAAACTTTTCTTCGCAACATTGCCTGCTGCCGTCAAATTAGGCATACGCCTCGGGTGACGAACACGAAAATTCAACTAATTAGACCGAATTATTCGCAATTAGTTAATGAAAGACATAGATAGAAGGTCACCCTTAAAACATGACATATGTATACTGGGGAGGAATCTGATCTGATAAAAGCACAAACATGTAAGTTTAAAATTTCGTAATAAAATAATGTTTATATAAAACGAACGCATTTTAATGCACATAAATAACAATCGAACCCGAAAATTTCAATACACATTTTCGACCCTAAAAAGTATATATATTATTATTATATAATCTGACCATCTATCGCCCCAACCGACGTTTCTACCCAAACTAGTTCCTCAGTTTTAAAGCTATTTTGATAATACTAGCAAAAAGTCTTTTTCTTGTCGCAGGTAAAATAATAGTCGGAACCGGCTCGATAGGCTTACTATATCATATAGCTCCCATAAGAACACTCGGGATATAAAATTATAACTTCGTTGTTTGTTAACATAAATCCTTATACTTCGATATATACTCATAACTAAGGATTTTAGAATAGCGGTTTTACTTTATATCATATATATCTATATCATAAAGCTTCTATACGTATGATCGAAAAATTTATCGGATAATCGACATAGCTTAATATGTGTTTTAAGCATTAAATATAATATATGAAATATTTATTTTTGTAACAGCTTAAAGGGTATATAAAATTTTGACTTTTTAAAATCATATATTAAATTTTTAATACAATTTTAGGTAATTAATTATAGTTTGTATACCCTAGAAGATAGTATTGTAACGTAGTCGGAAGTTTGCAAAACAATATAGGAGACATTTTCGACCATACACCATTCAGGTGGCGCCATCCGCTGAACAAATGACTTCTATGACATAGCTGCCATAGAAAAATCAGAAAATAAATCGTAATCCGAGATAAAATAGTTTCTCGCAACAAAATATCTTTTGTGATAAATACACTAGTTTAGTTTTAATTCTCTACTTCGAATTATTTCTGGGAGAAAAACTTTACTGGATCTGTATATTTTTCTTTGAGTCTATATTTATATATCGATGCTTTATACCACCCGTCGGCAGATTTCAACTTACATGCAGAATGGTCGGCTGACTGATGTGGTGGCCGTTGACAAAGGTCAGGGCATCGGTGTGCAGAGGGGTCACCGTACAAACGCCCTCCAGCAACGAAATAAGGCAATGCCTCGGCTGGATCGAGGGTCCAAAGAGCTGCAGGCAATTAGTATTCGCCGATCCCACCTCCACGGGGTCGCTACCCAACTTGATCCGCCGACCACCATCGCCGCTGTGCGTCACTTCCACTAGGACGGGACCCTCGCGATCGCCGGATATGTGGTTGGCCCCATTAGCGGTCCCCAGTGGTTTTTTCTTTCGTCTTCGGGGCTGTGAGTCCGCTGGGCGGCGCCGCACATGGAACATGATAGAGCCTGAAAAATAAATAAAGGAAAAATATATGAGTTAAAATATAAGTTGAGATCATAGGTAAATTTACTCGTTATGTTCATGGTTTAAAACTGTATACAAATATTCACGGGGCTAATAAACGAACAGAACAAAAAATTAAATGCAGCCGCAGCTTTTTTAGCCGCCTTTTGTCTTTTGTGTCTCGTTGGGAAGTGCAGTTTAGGCTGTGATGCAAAATTTTAAATCTCTGCCACTCAACTGATGATTGGCTTGACAGTCGAGGCAAAATTTATTGGTATACGTTTAATTGGTTAGGAATAATTTATTTCATTTTAATTAACCATTTTTCGGATATCATATTTTAATATATTTATCTTAATATAAAATAAATATAATTTTTAAATAACAAAATGTATTTAATGATAATGTTTTGATTATAGGATAAAACTAGTAATTCAGGCTTTAATTTATTTGTACTGTTTAACCCATTCTATAATAGAAAAGAAAATTTTATAATTACAATTACTATTTAGATTTATTTTATCCTACTTCGACTCACATTAAAGTTTCGGAAAGTGAACCCTTGATAATGAATAATGAATATACTATATAACTATTCCATATCTAATATTGTTTCCACAACTGTGGAAACCTCCAAACGCTCTCTGCAATCGCATGGCTTCAGCTCGCGTCGGAAGTAACAAAAGCAAAATAGAAATCCAGAAAACGAAATCCAATTCGGGCTGCATCATCAATTTCAGTCTCGATATTAGATGTACATTTTGAGAGCTAGCGAAAAACAATCCACTATTCTGGCAAGGAATCCAGCGAAGGATATGTGTACAATGTTCATATATACAAATACTTTGCCTGCAGCTAGCTGAATAACCAAACGACTGACTGACGGCCAGACAGTTCACTGACAAGCGGAATCTTGTAGTTACATTCCGTAACTTTTCATAGACGACAACCCAAGAAAAAATCAGCAGAGTACACTATTACACAATATATTGATGTAATATGCTCTCAAATACTTTGGGGTAAATTTAATAATCCAGTTAAAGAACATATTTATTTTTTTAAAAATAAATATAATTTACAACGAGATGGGAACCTCATTTTTGCAATTCACTTCGACTATAGTTTTCAGATTTCTCACCACACTCCCATGTTGACTGATGCTGCCGTTGTTTATTGTACAGAATGCTTAACGAAGCATGCAAAATGTGATGGCAGTTACAGCACCACCTCCTACCCGTATTCCGACCTCCCCCAATTTTACCTCCCTAGTTTTGGGGCAAATTGCAGCAGATGATGGCAAGATGCAAACAAGACTTGGCATGTGCCAAAGGCATTTCGGCAATGCAGGCTAAATAAGGCATGACGTGGGCGTGGCATGTGCAACTTATAAGGAAAGAAGGGAGCGGTTCACGGAATATGGCAATGGGATGAAAACTCCAGGGAAATCTAGCTACGCTTTCAATTTGATATAAAAAAATATAACAAAAAACAAGAGAGAACGCTATAGTCGGGTGCCCCGACTATCAGATACCCGTTACTCAGGTAAAGGGAGTGCGAGGGAGATGGAGATAGAAACTTTGATCACGCATAACTTCTTAACGAATGGTCCGATTTGAAAAATTTCTTCTACATTTCGATAGGTATTGATAAACACAATAAACTGCATTTTTACTTTTCCGAAATATTTAAATTTTTAAAATCGTATATAAGCGATTGTGGGCGTTAAAGGGGGCGTGGCACCATTTTGAAACAAACTTGCGCTGCGTAGGAACTTCTAAAATCTACATGCAAAATGCCAATCTTCTAGCTTTTATAGTTTCCGAGATCTCAGCGTTCATACGGACAGACAGACGGACAGACAGACGGACAGACAGACGGACAGACAGACGGACAGACAGACGGACAGACGGACATGGCTATATCGACTCGTCTAGTGACCCTGATCAAGAATATATATACTTTATAGGGTCGGAAACGCTTCCTTCTAGCTGTTACATACTTTTCCACGAATACAATATACCCTTTTACTCTACGAGTAACGGGTATAATAACGACAAAACAGAAGTTCAAACAACAAATTCCAGAACAACAACTGGTAAAGGAACAACATAGAACTAAATGAATTGTATTTCTATTGTGTAATACCTTCTTTGCGGCGTTGTTTGAACAGACTTATTATTAATATATGGATTACACACATGGCTTAAAGGTCCGGACTTCGTTTTTGCCTTGTTTTGTTGCCGTTGAAGAAAACTTTACCGACAACTTTCTGGGCGCTCAAAGAATAATCAACTCAAAAATGTGGGGTGCCACCAACAGAACGCAAACAAAAAGGCAGCAAAAGCTTAAGGAAAAGTAGCCAAAAACATGAACACGCTTCATATACTTTATGTCGAGAGAGCCTTGAATGGGATGACTGAATAATCTCCCTGTTTGGATTGCAACTTGTTTAGAGTTGAGCCGAGGGATAGTTTGGCGAGTCGTGTGGCTTGATAGCAAGTCAGGCGATGAAGTTGATCAGGGATTATAAAGGGGTTGACTATTATTACGGAAGCTTAATTTTTGCCTTGGAATTAATAGCATAATTTGATTTATAAAATTTGATTTATAAAATGTATAATTTGATTTTTAAATGTTAGTAATTATTATTTTATCACGTTTGTTTTAAATTTTTTAATAATCATTGTATTAATATGTAATTAGCTTTCCGGGTCAAGGATTTGAATGTTGGGCTCCTCAGGTCATTTAGCCTAATGCATCTCAATTCAGTCGCTTATTTTTTTATTCATTTTTTCCTATACTTAATCCACCTGTCTAATCTACCTCAAAAGGTTTTATTAAGATTTTCTTCAATTTGTTCAACACATGTTTACGAATTTGTATTAAATTATTAGTAGAAGGCTAAGTACTACAGCTATTTTGATTAAACATTGCAAAGTCTTCTTTCTGTTGCAGGTAGTATTCGTCCGAGCAGGACGGATCGGCTTACTATATCATATTGCTTTCATCTTTGTTATTTCTTAAAATACAATTAAATTTATTAATTTCAGCTCGTCGAAGTTTTCTTTTTTTCTAGTCTGTCTTAGGATAGCTCCTTATATTGTTTAGTTACTTTTTTCAGTGTAATTATTCTTAATTTCAAAATATATTTTGTAATTTCACCATTAAATTTTACTGTTTAAACTTGACGACATAAGTACTTAAATCAATTTTTTTTACCTGTAAATCAACATGAACAAGAAAGGAAAGCAAACTTCGGGCGGAGCCGAAGTTAATATACCCTTGCAGAATATTCTGTAAATTATATTCTCCAAAATTATTTATATGATGCATTCTTAATACTCATAAAAAAACCCAACTTCCCAACTTTAAAAACACCAAAGTTATGGCATTTCCAATCGTTCAGTTATATGGCAGCTATAAGATATAGTCGGCCGATCTTTATGAAATTTGGTAGGTCGGATTGATTGGCGAAAAATTAAACCCATAGATAATCCCAACTTTCTAACTTTACAAACACCAAAGTTATGGCATTTCCGATCAATCAGTTATTTGGCGGCTATAGGATATAGTCGCCCGATCCTTATGAAATTTGGTAGGTCAGACTGATTGGCCAAAAATAAAACCCACAGAAAATCAGAACTTCCTAACTTTAAAAACACCAAAGTTATGGCATTTCCGATCGTTCAGTTATATGACAGCTATATGATATAGTGGCCCGATACGGCTCGTTCCGACTTATATACTACTTGCAATAGAAAGACAACTTTTGGGAAAGTTTCAAGCAGATAGCTTCAAAACTGAGGGACTAGTTTGCGTAGAAACGGACGGACGGACAGACGGACAGACGGACAGACGGACGGACATGGCTAGATCGACTCTCCTGGTGATGCTGATCAAGAATATATATACTTTATAGGGTCGGAAATGTCTCCTTCACTGCGTTGCAAACTTTTGACTGAAATTATAATACCCTCTGCAAGGGTATAAAAATTTCTTTCCTAACTGGCATTGACAACTCCAAATAACCGTGTTCACCAGACCATATAATTTATGACTTAGCCGTGCAGGGCATACAATTGTAAATCAATCACTAAATGGACAAGTTCGACACTGGTAGACAGGTTTCTCGGTTGGCAATTCAAGTGGTGCCCCTCATTGGGCATGCATGTAGAAACAGGACTTTAGTTCCGCTCCCATCAACACAAATAAAAAAAGGACCCAAGTTAAAGGCAGTGCTTACAGGTCAAGGTTGAAGTTCAATCTAAGGAATTATCATTTAACGTCAATTTTTTCTTACATTTTACCTAACAACACTTTTATTGTTTTTAATAATTAATTTTAAAGTAAATAAATAAAATGAATTTATTTTACACTAGTAGAAACAAATTTTTTGAAGTGCGCTTGTGCCTTTAATTTTAGCAAGCGAACGAAAGCAAACAACATTTTGTCCTTGGCAGTTGACATTTGGGAAGCAGAAACGAGGGGCACATTGATAAAGTGCAGTGCCAAACGGATGCCAGAAAAATCATTTTAATTGTTCCTACTTGGTCAACAGCTTGGCCGGAGCAAAAGGTGGAACCACCCACTCACCACTGGCACCATTGTTGACACAAGAAAACGAGCAAATTGCAAAAGCCATCAAAGAGAGGAGGTGAGGGAATGGCCTGTGGGTGGATGGGTGGTTAGGGCTCGGACGAACGAGCCATGAAATTGATTCGGCCAACAAAGTGCCAGGATCATGTGTGAAGCCTCCAACTGTCCTTGTGTGTGGCTGTATGCACGTGCATAAGTGCGAATAAATTGGCAACAGAGCACAAAGGACGGAAAGTAAGGGGGCATTGTGCAGAGGGAAAAAACAATGCAGGGAAATTGCATAACGAGTTGAGTGACTCGGGCAGAATCCACGCCCGGATGGTTAGCCCCAGCGCCTGCCCGTTAGGTAATCCACAAAACTGTGGATCCCTGTGTGCCACGAAAAGAGGAAACTGGGGCCACCAAG